TGTTGGTCTAAGAGCGAACCGAACCAGAGGTGTGCTGTGCTGGCCGGCTGCCCTGGGATGGTTGGTGATTTGTGGCCTCCTGTCCAAGTCTCCTGGCCTGGACCGAATGGGCGGGAGGGCCTTGCAGACCACCCCCAGTCCCCTTCGGCTTTTTTCTCCCGCCGAGGCTGGGTCCCCGGAAGCTTCACTTCGCCAGGGCCAAGGCGATCAGCACCTTGGGCCAGCTCTTCCAGCCACTTGGCACCCACCCGTGGCGTGGAAAGGAAGATCACCTATAGCCTAAAGCCTATAGCCGCACCGGGGCTCTCGTTTGCATCCGAGGATCGGCTTCACAATCATCGCGAAGACTGCGCTGATGCCGTTCCTTGGTCGGGAAGCGGCGTCTTTCGAAGCTGAGCCGCCGGGTGGAGTCTGTCTGCCTTTCGACACCCGAGGTTCATGTGCTACTCTCATCCCAACGGGTGGCTCGGCTTTGGGAGGCTCCCTGAGTTCGGCCTCTGTCTCCTCCTTCCAACCCAGGAAGTCAAGTGTCCTCCGCTTCAGTGACGTGATCTGCTGGGAGGACCGCGGAGAAAGCAGACCGGGTGGGTTAAGGCCGGTTCACAGGCCCCAACCATGCTTGATCCGAAGACGGACGCACTGGCACATTGTAGAGGATTTCAACAAGAGAGCTCCATCAACATATGCAAAAGGTTCGGGAAGCTGACAGCAAAGCAAAACAGTTGCAAGGCATAAGTCAAACGCACGGATCCGTGGCGAGAATCTGCCCACGATCCAAGAGTTTTGCTGCTTATCCGCTTTGTATCCTCACGGTGTTCAACTCTCAGAGAGGAGCAGACGGGACACACGGTCATGGTCATCTTCGGTGTCATTATGACTGCGCACCTCGGACTCCGTCTGCCGTCGAAGCGCAGAGCTTCGCACTCCAATCTGCTGCGGGCATGCAGCTCAAATCTTTCCTCCACCAGCAAAGATAGCAAAGCGCAACGGGGAGCCACTTTGCCCTGCGTGCCCAGGACAATGGTCTTTTACTGGTGCACGTTGCTTTGGGCCACCATCCAGGCGCCAAAGAGGCGCCGAGAGGGCGGTGGGGTGGGGGGGAGGGAACTTCGACTTCCTCCGAAGAAGCAAAACGCGGACGTAGCCCAAAGTCGAGGTCGGCGAGGGCGGACATGTTCTTCTTGCAGGCGACGCGGTTCCTGTTCTTTCGCTTCAGGACGGACCGGCGTATACAGTATTAACATGTGCATGTGAGAGTCCACAGATTGTAGGTTTGCAAGCTGGAGGCTTCCGGACAGAGCTCCGTTTTGTTCATCTTAAGACTGTTGTACACAGTGTTAAGTTAAAGTCGAGGACTGAGGGAGCCATCGCTTTTTTTCTCGCAGGACCGACTATTGGTGGTATGGAACATGGTTTATTCTCCGAGGCGCCTCGACAACGTGGTGAATTTTTTTATCCTGGATCGGGTCCTTGTTACAAGAGTGATTCAGTCTCCAGGAGATCTAGTAAGAGACGCTTGAGATGCTTCTGACGAGATAGGCGGAATAGTAGTGATCGTGTTGGGAGTGGTGTCGGTGGTGCCACTTCAGCTTCTCATCCCAAAACAAGGCCCGCAGCATGCTCTCGTCGCTGGTGTAAAGATACCCTGGACACGAACCCAAGGGACCAGAAATGCTTGGCACCTGAAGACAACCAGAACGAAAAGCTTCATGACGAATCTGCATCACAGAATGAAGGGGTGGGGTGTGCAACATCGGTTTGCTTGCACAGGCACGATGACGATGATGCTCGCTGATGCTGTCGGGGATGATTGTGATCATGGCGATGCTGCTGCTGCTGATGATGATGATGATTGCTGCTGCTGCTGATGATGATGGTCGTGACGATGTAATGGTGATGTCGTGCTGGTGATGAGAGGGATGCGGGTGCCGATGGTGTTCAGGTTGCTATGATGGATCGACAGACAGCGGGTCGTACAAGTTCCTGCAAGGTCCGCTCTTGTCCTTGCCGGTTGTGATCTTCACCGACTTGCCCCAGGCTTTCTGATTACGCAGGGCATGTTGCTTAGGGGGCTTGGGATGGCTTTCATTCCGAGCTTGCGAACGCTTCTTCGGGCCTTCGAGTGGAAGGACAGCATTTGCTTGGCAAGCCTGGCAGGTGCAGCTGTTCGTCATGACAGCCGTAGTGGCCGCTTGGTCGGAGAAACGACCAGGCCGTTGAGCCGGGGCGTGTCAGCCACAGCCCGAAACCCGAGCATCAAAAATCCCAATAGCCCCCAAAAGCCCCAAGAGTTTCTCTCTGTGCACTCGGCCGAGGAAACGTACATGGTACTGCAGCTCATGACGTGGCCCTGGAAGACGCCTTTGATCAACCTGGCGGATGGGGCCATGAGCATGATGCGCGCGGCTCAGCGGGCTCTGAAGCCCAAACCTTCTCTGGACTTGCACCCCAAACTCTGAGCCCCAAAGCGCCAAAACCGCACTCCCTCTCCCTACTGGGCCCTACTGGCGCTCAGGATGATCCTGTTGCTCTCCATCGGGGCGGCCTTCCTGGTTGCCAGGCTACAAAAGCGCTGTCTGAGAAACGTCGAGGAACACTTAGGACTTAAGCCTTTTTCGGGACCAAAGTGACTCTCAGTCAGAATCCTCGCCACTTGACGTTGGAGCTCGGCCCAGGATGCCTTGGAGGGGCAGGTGAAGGCCACCTACTCCAGCTTGGCCGTGGCCGCCGCCTGGCAGCCGCAGGGCCTGAGCGCAGCCGGAGTGTGAGACTGACCCGAACCGAAGGGCGCCGGAAGGCTTTGAAGCTTTCAGGAGAAAAGCCTGTAGAAGTTATCGCTAAAGCTGCCTAAGCCTCCTAAGGCCCTTGCACCGAAGCCTCCATGCTCAGATTGCGGATTTCGAGGTTCTTGGCATTCTCTACACCATTGCCTTCGTCTTGCTGTGCCCAGGCTGAAGCCGAGGTCCTTGAGCCCAAAAGGCCCAGGTCACTGAAGATTTATTGCGGGGTTTCTGCGGTTTAAAGGATTTTGAGGGGCTAAAGGTTTCTGGGATTTAGGGGTTTGGGCTTTCGGGAGATTTGGGGCTCAGGTCTTTGGTCGTCTTGGCCCTGGTCCACAAGACTGCCATGGGCTCCCCCAACGAGCTTCCAATTCTGCTCCTTGCGTGAGATTTTGGGGGCCTTGGGATGGGGTGTTTGTGGCCATGGAAGGACTAAGGAGGCTCAAGGGGAAGGGGGCGCTCTGATTTATGTAAGCTGAGGACGCTGGGGCATCCTCCGAGCAACGAGACGCTGCGACAGGCGGGCAGCTCTCATGCAAGGTAAGCGTTGTCCTGCGCTGGGACAGCTGTCATCCCGTGCGGTCGTGTTAGGATCCTGCTGCATAGATCCCAGACCTGCGAGAGGCTTTGGATGCGCTGCATACGACGTACGAGGTGGGTCAAGCTTCCGAAGCGCAGCGCATGGGCCCATGGTTTGCTTGCTCCCAATCTGTACCGGAGCATCACTGTCAGCTTGCACGCCGTTCGGGTCGCATTGCACGATTTTGGCGGTGTTCTTTGGGCGTCTCTGCTATCGCAATTCGCCAGGAGGCCGACGGCCAGACCATAGAGAAAGCCATCGATGCCGCTTAGCCTGACTACGAGGCCACAGGTAAACACTAAGAAGAGCTTACGAGAAACCGAACTGCGGGAGCTCGGTTCTCGCTGACTCAGGAGCTCAACGTCTACGACAGGCCAGGTCTGTGCCGCGCTGCAGGGCTTTACTTTCGGACCCCGGAGCCATGTCTTAGGCGGATGCTCGCGACGGTCCTAACCACCTTGGGGCCCTACTTCGCGAAGCTTGGGCAGAGCGTTTTTATTTTTTTGGGGGGGTGGGGCGGGGCGGGCCACTGCCCCGCATGAAGCAGCGCGTCTCCAGACCTCCTAGAAGTAGCTGAAGCTGAGGAACGACCACAGAATGCGACTCATGAATCGGCTCAGCGTCGCCCGGCAAGCTTTGTCAGCTTTTCTTGGGGATGTAGCAGCGTGCGCTGTGCCAGGGTGTAATTCTCGGGCGTTTTCTCCGAGGTCAGCACCGTCTCCTTGCCGTCTGTGAAGGCCCTACGGGACATCGGACACCACTGGGCTTTAAACTCGTCGCGATATATATATATATATATATATATATATATATATATATATATATATATATATATTGGTGGCTGTCAAAATTAGGGTCCCTTATTGGGTCATTAATATAATACGGCACCTAATAGTTAGGGTACCCAGAAAGGGACCCTAATTTTGACAACCACCCATATGTCGTGATAGCCAGCTCGTGGCTCTTGAAAAGTGTGTTGTGGGTTATGGGTCTCGGTTCCCTTCAAGCAGCGAAGGTTGAGAAGCTTCCAGACCCGGAATTCTTTCTTGCAGCAGTTGCCAGTGTGGGTGGGTGCACAGCTTCCGTACCGTCGATTTCTGAACCGAGATCGGGGCAGCGTTCCTGCTAGTTCCTGCGGCCGCCGTTGTTTTCGATGCATGCAAAAGATGCCGTGCCGTTTACGCGAGTGCTCACCATTCGCGCGGAGGCAGAAGTTCTGAGCCCAGAGCAGATGGAACACGACCTGCAAGACCAGGACACGTCACGAGCCGGTTAAGTTTAACCCTGAGCCGCGTAGTGTAATGTAGTGTAGTAGTGTAGTACTACCGTCCGGGGAGCCTTCCCAGGACCCCAAAAGCTTAGTCACCGGAAGCGAGACGAAGAAGGAGAAGGGGGAGGAGCAGGAGAAGACTGCTGCGGAAGGTGGAGAGACCCATGTGCAGCTTTCAGAGACTTGATCGCCATTGATGGAGAAGTCGCAGCCTAAGGATGGAGTAGGCCATGTGTCTGTCTGCGGGTGCTATGCAGGATTGAAGATTCAGGCTGCCCTTAGGGTCCGGTTTTGAGCCTGACGCACTCTTCGATTTAAATTCCAAGATAGGGACCTATTGGTTTTGGAGCTTTCGGACTTGCGGCAGATGCGTGATGCTCTCATCCCAGGAGACGCGCAACAAGCTCCGCTTCGCTGAGGAGCTGCAGTTTGCAGATGTTTGAAGACGGGCAGCAAAGGCCCGTTTGCACATGTTCAGAGTATGCCTCTCTTGCCGGTCTTCAACCGTCGTGCTCTTGACCCAGAAGCCCCGCCGATAGCTGGGGTTGGAAGTGGTTTTGGTACTCGTAGTGCCTGCTTTTCCGGACACCGCGGCCTTGTCGGGATCTCGGGTGCCCTCTCCAGGCGTTGTATTCCGAGGGGTGCGGTTGGAACCTGGCCGAGCCTTCACACTCTCTGGCTAAGCCCCAAAGGGGCTGAAAAAGTCAAGGAGATAGAGGCCAGGCCCGTCGCGCAAACACCCGAGGTTTTGTTTCAGACTTGTCCAGGGGCTTTCCCTGAGACAGAAGAGTCTGCTCCAAATTTATCTCAGTGAAACTCGTTCCCGTTTGCACGGCAGCGTCGCCTTGGGGATTTGGGCGTTTCAAGCTTGGGATGCCGATGCCGGAAATCGGGGTGAGGTTTTACGGAATATGACCGCAGACTGCTGCAGTGCAAGGGGAATTGCGAAAGACTCGACCCCAAACCCAAATGGAGAGACTTGGTTCACCTGGGTCTCTCTGTAGTCAAAGCCAAGGGAGGCGAAGACCGTTGAGGCCACGCCGAAAGTGAAAGGATCCGACTCGACTCCACCACAGCAGCTCAATCTCAATATCTTCATGACAGAGTGCAGGTTAAGTCTAAGAGTCTAAGTCTAGGTGCTCTCTCCTATCCAAGCTTTCGAGCACTTTCGAGCCTCCGGTGCCGCTTCCTTGCTGTGGCCACAGGGCCACGCCCTTTCGGATAGAATTTGCTGAGCATCGGGGCAGCCAGCGTAGAGAACTTGCTTGGTTGCAGCTGACTTGTCCCGGCTCCGACTTCGGCGTTCCAACTTCTGGGATGGGTTCGGAAACCCGAGCCCGGCGCCTCGCCGAAGGATGCCTTGTGCAGCATGTGCTGTGTTGGAAGGACTTCGTTGTCGTTTCCGGAGCCGCCAGGGTCAGCCTTCTGGGTTCAGGGCTGCTTCAGGACAGGATTTCTTGGATTTGGGGTTCGAAGGATTTGCATTTGCCAGGCTCGGTTGGCTTCTGGAAACCAGTCTACACCACATTTCAGCGAGCTGGATGCGGCGAAGCGCGACCAACTCGCTGCCCAAGGGCTTGGATGCTTTGAGGAATTTGTGGTGCCCACGCGGAAGCAGAAATCGACCTTCAGCCTGCATCGTTCCAGGGGCTTAACGACTTAATGGCTTAGTGGCCCGGTGATTCCCCAGACAGGATATTGGAACTACTGAAACTCAGACATCGGGTACTCCTGCGTGAGGCGATGCGTGGAGTGTGGCTCGTTGTGACTGGTAGTGACTCTGGCTCAGGCGCCAACTAGGCATCCAAAACGCGCGAGGCGACATCACCGGACAGCACTACCTTCCGACCCACTCAATCGATGTACCGTCCATAGTCGATACCTCGTCGTAACCCTATTATGGACTCGTGGCTCTGCAGCGATGAGCGCTCCAGGCTTCGGCTGCTTCCTTCTTATCTGGTTGGGGAATTGGCTTTTCTTTGCTTTTGGAAATCGAGTCAGCAGACTGCAGGCTCGCTGCCAGCCAAGAAGACGATCCTCGGTGCAGTCTGTGTGGCGCGGCACAGAAGATCTTTGTTTTGGGAACGGTGCTTTGCGGGACTCGATGATGTTCCCTTGAGCTCAGGGCCCTGTCGAAGTTCCCACGAGTGGTGGCCCTGAAGGCTAGGCGGCTAGGGTTTATAAGGGCCCAAGGGTGTTCAGCTCAATTCAGCGTGTAACTTCGTGGTTATAGGGTGTGAAATGGGAAAGTTGTGACACGTTGCCAGGACCTGGGAATCAGTTCTGGTCGTCGAAACCCGGCGTGTGGTGACCTACAAACCAATGCAACATGGTAGTGTGTAGGCTTAGCGCTCTGTGTAAAGCGGTGCACGTGCAAGGTCTGCCATGTGCCCGAGTCTCAGCGATGGCATAGGAGAACGGATCTGGAGACCGAGAGCTTGGTTATCTGTGCTAAGGCAGAAGCCCATACCACTGACCGCTAGGGCCGGGCTGTCACGAAGTCCATTAGCCCAGGCCAGGCCCAGGTGTAGCGAAACTTCTCGAGTCCGCCTCTGCTGCCGCGGCGAACCTGCGCAGGCCATGGAAGCCCACTTTGACCGGCCTCGCTCGGACCGAGGTGCTGGCCAGCAGGCATGGCTCCTGGCTTTCACGTGTTCTGGTCTAGACACAGCCCAAGACAACGTTGGGCCTTTTCATCAGACATGTGTAGGTTCGGCAACGGATGCCGTGCCCTCAGCTGACGCAGAGACCCAGAGCTCGAGAGCGCGTCGTCAGCATGGCACGGCTTCGCCATGCAGGTCCGGCGCGCAACAGCTTGGTCCCAAGAGTGCTTTGCAGCCGCGGTAGCTGTGCTCAGTGGGCCACCATCCCCCGAGGATAATGGCCTGGGCTCGGAACTCGAGCTGCGTGGCAATCTGTCACGTTTCAGAGAAGGGTTCAGTACAGTGCAGAGTCCCTGAAAGGTCGAGCGCGAGCTGCAGGTTTTGGGTCAAAATGGCTCGGTCAGCGACACAGAGGTACTTGGTTTCATGGTGTCCTTTCCAGAGCGATGTCAGAACGTCCCAATTTTGAGGTACCGCAACAGGATCGTGTGCGCGTCTTCAAGGAAGCTTTCGGCCCGACCCTCGGACGTGGACGAATTGCCACACGATTGAATAAATGAGCAAAAGCGTTCGATTAACATGCAGAAAGTAAGACGTGGAGTCTCGAACACGAACAGCCTCACGCGGCCACGCGGAACATGCTGGCATTTTCCCACTTGGAGTGCTTGCCCTTGCCCCTGACTCACCGATTTGGGTTGGCGGCCACGAAATTTTCCCAGCAGAGCGTGGTGTTGTTGCCCTTGGCGTTCCTTTGGCACCCAGTCTCCTCGACAACCTCCCCGACACTCCATGACTCCCAAGTTGCATGGCTGTTGCTCTTCTGTTGTGCAGCGCCGCGTGCGCAATCTGCCCTCTGCACCCTCCGGCTTGAATGCACACACGGCTATGCGGGCAGAACGCGATGGTGCAGTCCTCGGTTGCCTTGCCGGCTTCGTGGGCTGACGCATCGAGTGCTCTAGCCCGGCGTGACCCCGACTTTGCTCATGAAGTCGCCGGCTCTCTCGCCTCTGACCGGCCACTCCCGTTACGCCCGCGACTCACTTTCTGCCATCGGCTTCGAGCCCCCTGCGTAGGCGGAGTTGCTGCATGCTCCAGTGCCAGCCCAGCCCGAAGAGGACCCGTCCCTTGATCTCACTCGTGGTTGGCAGCGCCCGGTGTACAACTTTTGCCATAGGGCCTTCCTTGGGGAAACCGACGCTGCCTCGGCCGCCCTGTCGGTTTGGGGCGGCGCCCAGCTTGCAGTCGACACCACGCTCGTCTCCCCTTTTAGTGCTGCCAACCCCCTGCGCAGGGCTGGAGGCCGTACTGCTGCTCACTGCATGACGAGCCAAAGAGCGCACATACCCTGAACTGTGCAGGTCCAACCACTGCAGGCTCACAGTCCTTGCTCTTGAGAGTGGGGGGCGTTGGAATGCCGAGGCCGCCACCTTTGTCCGTTTGCTGACAAGGTGCCATGCGCGGTCTGTGCCGCCACCCTCACGCGCTGCCGCCATCTCGGCTTTCATTCTCCGGTGGTCTGCGCTCCTCTCCTTTGCAGCCGCCCGCACTTTCGCAGCGAAGTTGTTGTCCATGCCCCTCACTGGCGCGGCCAATGTTGATGGGGAGCTCCCAACAAAAAAAACTACCACCTCTGAGCAGCATCCTCGCCGACTGGCCTTCCCAACCCCCGCTCGCCAGCCGTGTGGCGTGAATGCGCTCTGCGCCGTTGCCGCTCTTTGCAGTATAGACTGTGGCTTTGGGCTTTAGCACAGGGACCAAGCTGCGCTGGACGTTGGTAAACAGGTCCGTGGAGAAAAAATTTTTGGATGCTTGCGGCGCAAGCAACTTGCAGCGCTTGCCTCCCTTTGCAGTTTGGTGGCCTGTGTGTCAGTCGACGCCGCCCCCCGCCTCCTACTGGGCATCTGGCCGAACTGCTTGCCGACCATTCGAGCGCGAGCGCCGCAGGCAGCCGCTCGTTTGGTCCGCGGTATACAGTTCTCGAATGAGAGCGCACTGCCTTCGCGGCCGCTTTCCACCGCGAGTAGGGCTACGATGCTCCCGCGAAGGACTCGTCGCTGCAGGCACGGCCTGTGCAGGAAGAATGTGAGCTTGGTGACTTTTTGCGAGGCTGGCAGCATCCTGCTGCCCTTCCAGCGACATGGGCACGCTCGATTTGCATTTGTTTCACACTCGTGCCGCATCTCGAGCCCTGCTGCCGCAGGCCGGGCCACAGGCTGCGCGCGCCTTCGCCGTCTTTGCTGCAAAGGTCCGCGCGGCATGCGAGCGCGAAGGAGTCCTTATGCCGTCAAAGCATGTCAAGGCCTGGGGTGAGGACACCTTGCGAAGGGCTGTCCGGGATGCACCTTCACAACCAACGATGCGCCTGAGCCGCCCCCTCCACCGGGGGTGAATGTGCTTTGTTGTCATCATGTCGCGGACGTGAACGGAGCGATTGGTGTTGACTTCGTCAAGCTGCCGCACCGCGCCGTGCAATCGGCGTGGCAACCAAGTTGGCTTTGCCCTGGCTGCGCGCATAACCTGAGACGTGCCGACTTCGACGTCCCGGCCGATGCGGGACAGCCCTGTGGCTGTTGCGGACGTGCATTGCGATGGGAGTACGACCGCGCAACTAGGCAGGGACAGCCCAGCTGCATGCCGGGTTGTCTGTGTGTTTGGTAGTGACTTGTCATGCATGCATATGTAAGCATTGCTTCGCGGAGTCTGAACAGACTCATTCGCACTATCCAGTGCCACCATCGACGTGGCTCAAGCAATGGTGCACAAATCGAGAAGTGTACCGAGTTCTGGCAAGGGCCTCAGCTTGGAAGCTGGGTTTGGGTTTGTGGTGGTGGTGTTCAGGGCACCCGGTACCCTAGTCCCGGACCTTTCAGGGTCCTTCGGAGCTTGATTTGCAGATGGTGATCGGAAGTAGCGGTGATGCCTAGTGATTATGATGATGTACCGTATCAGATAAGACAGGCGTTGCAGCAACAGCAGCAACAACAGCAGCAGTCACCGGCGTTTAGCATCGTTACCGATAGCAGTCCGCAAACACAGGTTATGACACGCCCAAACGCTGAAGCGCATGCAGAATCAGCCATTGAGCAAGGCTTTCATCTGCGGTTCGCAACGGCAATGTCTCTTCCATCAGGGCTACAGCTACAGCAGATGTTGCAAGTGCAAGCGCCAGAAGAGTTTCTGCATATGTTGAGATCAGACAGAACGAATACCCTTTCTGCCTTATCTTCTTTAGAGGATGTGCAGAGGAGGCTCGATGATCTGAACGGTGACATGCAGTTTCGGACAGAACGCTTGGCAGCATGGGTTTCTTCCATCATGGGGGAGACAGATGCCACTCGACAGCATTTGGGAGCAGTAGGCCAGTCCATGCAAGACAGCGAGACTCTGTGGAAGCGGGCCGATGGCCAGTTCAAGGAGCTCATGACTCGTGTGGGTCAGTTGGAAGCGGCAATTAAGCATGAAAGCAGAGCGCAAGCCACGTTTGAAGCTGACATGAGCACGAAGGTGAACACGTTAGCTCAAGCTGTTCATGACTTGCAATCACAGTGGGCACGGGTGGACGCATCCGAACAAGCTCACGCAGAGCGCGCAAAAGCAATGAGTGAAGAAGTCGCAGGAGTACATGCACTGCTCGATGAAGCCAGTCATGCGCCCCTTACGACGGAGCAGAGAGAGCGCCTAGATGCCTTATGTCAGGCAGACGTTTTGACTAAGAGTGATGGTGCTCAAATTATTCAGCAGATGCAGGATGTACGACGGGATCTTGACAAAACGATGGAGCATCTTGAATCTCATGTGCATGCTACTGTTGATCGCGATGCCCGGCTGAACAGAGCTCTTGATAGGCTGGAGATTACCACCAAGCTTCAAAGGCGCTGTGGAGAGCTGGAGACAAACATGGCCGTGCTGATGAAGCACCTTGGCGATGACAAGGCGGCTCAACAGTTCACGGCATCTCGAAAGACCGAGCAGGCTCAAAGTCCTTTGATTGAGAATGCAGGACCTGTTCATCACATCATTGGCACTCCAGGTGTCCAACACGAGGTCAACGCAGCAGATGCTGCTGATGAGTGGTGGGACGCCCATGACGATAAACCGCTATCGTCGTGGACACAACCTCCAGGTTTGAGTTTCGCACCGTCGCAGCAGCCCCCACCAATACCCTCGAACTTAAGACAGATCCAGGGGTCACCCAAAAGCACGCAAGCAACATCTGATAAAGTTCCACATGCCGCTTTCAAACTGCTGAAGGATTGTCCAAAGCTGGACATTCAGAAGGGCGAATGTTGGGAAATCGGGATGAAGGTCAACCAGTGGAAGGCTGAGACAACGACAGTGTTGAGTGCCATCCATCGAGACTTCGGAACCTATTTCGAGCAGGTGTTCGCACAGGCAGCCGAGAGATACAAACAGAGACAGGTGACAGCATGTGAGTCCCCGATACCGGATGTTCCAAAGGGAATGGGTGATTGCGAGGTTCGTTTGTCGCTGACCTTATTGAAGGTGTTGCCTGTCAAGGTGAGACAACCAGTCCTTGAGCGACAGGATGGTCCTGTAGTGAGGTCGGTACTGCTCCTAGAGTCCCTTCATGAGACCGTGGCTCCAGGAGGAAGGGAAGAGATCACATCGTTGCAGAAGTTTCTGCGTTCTCTTCCGTCGGCGGCAAATGGACGAGGAATTCTCACGACTCTTAGGAGGTGGCAGTTGGCGACGGCGCGTGCAGCGTCATTGGAGTTACCACCGCAAGCACCAAACGAGGCACTGTCTGCAATCGAATCTCTTGTGAAGACTGTTGAGAAGGGTAACCCTCAGTTCTCCATGAAGCTGAACTTGTTGCGTTTACAGCAGGATGTGATTGTTACCACAAAATCTGGACTGGATAGGTTCATTCTGTGTGTGGAACAAGAAGCGCGTCGGCTATCAGCAGATGAGGACGTGCGCACTGCAGCGGGACATGGGAACAAGCAGCAGCATGATGATGAGTATGTGATTGCGAAGGCTAGTGGAAAGGGAAGCGAGAAGAGACCTTGTTGGTTTCATTCAACTCCAGAAGGGTGCTCACGTGGGCGAGATTGTCCATTTTCACATGACGGCCCGTCCGGGGCGGCAGGGCCTAAGGGCTCAAAGGGCAAAGGCAAAGGAAAGAAGGGCAAGGATCACGATCAGTCAACCGATGCAGCAGCAAAGGCTAAAGCAGAAGCCAAAGCGAAAGCAAAGGCTGCGGCCAAGGAAGCCAAAGCCAAAACCAAAGCCGAAGCCAAAGCAGCAGCAGACGCTAAGGCCAAAGCAGCTCCAGCTTCGTCGGCAGCGAAATCTGCAGCTGTTTGCACTCCTGACATACCATGTCTTGCAGGGGCATCGTCGCAGGGATCAGAGACACATGCGCGAGCGTGCATGATGCGACTAGGATCTCAGGGCAGTTCTGATGGGTCATTATCCTCTCCATGTGATGTCTTATGGATGATCAGGCTAGGACGAGATGAGATGGAGCAGTATGGTCAGACTGGATCGGTTCCTAGTGCAGCTTGTTGGGAGCGTTTGCATCCTGACAACGAGTCGCAAGCTTTGGAGTGGCAAGCATGGGAGTGTTTTCGGGACGGTATTGCGCATCAGGAGCTCATCAGTGTGACCTCCACGGGACAGCGACTACATGTTGCAAACTATGTCAGAGCAGCATCCTGTGACTCAGATGCGGCACGTCTGCTGATAGAGTCATCGACAGCATCATGGTGGTGTGTCGTACGCGCGCAACATTGTGAGCCTGACCCAATCCCGGTAGGTATTGCCTTTCAATTTGCTGATGACCATGCTGTGGTTAGAGAGGTAACCACTGAGGAGGAGACATCGCCCGAAGAATCCAACCTCGAGGAGCTCGGGGATAACTCTGAGGAGGAGCCAGCGATTGGTACAGAGCCGGACCCTCTTCACGTCATGCTGGACATGATTGATGCCACACGGTATGCGAGGATCTTGAGTGCACTTGGAGTTGAAACCATAGAAGACTTGGATCTTATTCGAGAAGATGATTTAACAGATATCCCCGCAGTTCCTCGACGCAAGATCTTAGAAGCCTCCCAAGCCATCAATCGAGGTTACATTTTACTAGAGGAATTGCCGGATATTTGGGCATGGGCTCATCGCAGAAACCAAGATGTCGAGCACCCGCTCTCAGAAGGGGAGCCGGATGCTGAACCTTTTGGGGCCAAGTTGGAATGCAGAGATGAGGGGCATGCCCAGGCATCACGAGCTCAAGGCTCAGAGCCCTGGGTACTTGTGGATTCAGGAGCAAATGAAACCATTCGCCCGTGGCTTCCGACCATGAGCACTACAGGATGCAAGCAGACATCAGTCACCACAGCCAGTGGCGACCGGGTGGAGGCCTTAAGATCTCGTGACGGAGAGTTGTGCATTAGATCTTCCGATGACAGCCAAGAATGGCTTCTCAGCGTACGGCGTCTAGTTCAAGCTGGGGGCATGTTCTGTTGGGATGAATCGGGTGCTTTGTTGCGGTATTGGGATGAGGATCGGAAGCAGTACATGAAGGTGGTGTGTCAGGTCATAAATGGGCTTCCTTACATCACTTGGACAGATTTCAAGCCTATTCGCATCCTTCTATCTCGTAGATACAAGAGGAAGGAATCCACAGCAGCAAGCGCCAAGGAAGATCCAGCAGATACTACATTACAACAGTTGCGGATGTGTGACACATGCACCCCAGAAGAACTAGCAGAGCAGACCTGGGCAGAGGAGGACGTGACCATCAATAAGTCGCGATCAGAGCTTGATGACGTTGAGCGTTCTGAAGCCAGGGCAAAGGAGATGTTATCCAGTGAACAAATCACCCGTGAAAATGTTTGGAACCTGGTTCAGGATGCTGGTCTCAAGGGTCAGCGGACGCGGGCATCACTGCAGACTGATGGAGAGACGAGGCCTCGGATGTGGGTGTTCGGATACTTCGCGCACGGTGGAGTCGATGGACTCACTGCGCTAACGAGGGAACGACCGTATCTCACTCGAGTACTCTGCGAGCTGGTGAGGCGGGAGCTCCCTCACCACACTTTCACGAGCCTGGTTCTGGCAATCGATGCCACGCTCAAACCTCATCGTGATAGTTTCAATCATCCTGAGACTGAAGTGGGTCTTGTCGGCCTTACGGAGTTCAAGCACGGTGAACTGTGGATCGAGGATGTCGATGGCAATGTAAAGCGAAAAGTAACAGAACAGAAGGTCCTGGTTGGTCGCTTGCTTTCGGTTTCAGGAGCCGCAGTCACGTTCAATGGCAAGGCATGGCATGGAGCAGAAGCCCACCAAGGCATCCGCAGCACGATTTCAGCATTTACGCCCAGTCGGTTCAGCAAGGCGAATCGCAACATCATCGCCAATCTCAGCGAGTTGGGATTCAAGATCCCGACACATGTGCAGTCAGTAGCAGCCTCGGCAGTTACAGCCAGCACAAATCCGAAAGCATTCAGTCGAGATGACGATGATGGTGATGATCATGCGATGTGTGAGTTTGAGCCGGAGGGTCTTTGCGAGGTTTGTGGGGCTGTGTGTAGGTTTCAGGTTGAGCCCGCGCCAGAGCCTTCGTGTGATGAGCCATGGCCTGTCGCGTGCACAATCGTTGCTGACGAGTCTGGTCCTGTATCGTCTTTTCAGGAAAGGGCACGATCTCAAGCACTCAATCGGCTGTCGCAGCAATGCAGTAAAGGCCTTTACGAGCGCAGATGCCCCAAGTGTTTGGAGGCCCACGGTCACAAGCGCAAGTGTCGGCGGCTGGACCCGAGTGATGTTTCCAAGGGCACTTTGTCCATGGACCTGTCAGGTCCTCATCCAACTGCATTCTCAGGCCATCGCTACTTTCTTGTTGCGAACTTGTGCACAGGCGGGGAATTCCCAGACATACCGTTCGTGCGTTTGTTGCAAACAAAGAAAACCGAGGAAGTAGCTCAAGCTTTGAGTTCAATCATGTGCCAGATCGTGTCGCTCAGTCAGGGTGTCCCGGAAGTGTTCCGGATACATTCGGATGCCGGCAAAGAGTTTGTCGGCAAGGCGTTTATTACAGAAGTCCAGCGATTGAGTCTTTGGCCAACCACAAGTGTTCCATACTCTCCCCAACAAAACGGAAAAGCAGAGAGGCTGGTAGGACTGATCAAGTCTGCAGCGGCTTCGCTGCTGCTGCACGGTAGGCTGCCCTTGAAGCTCTGGAGCGAAGCAGTTCTCGAGGCATGCTTCCTACGACGCCAGAAATCTTTGCAGCTGCCATTGCCAGCTGATCGCCCGAAGATGGGCGACACTGTGCTTGTCAGGCGACCTGCAACGGTAGCAGAGGCTTTCGAGCCTAAGGCCGAGGAGGCCATTTTCCTTGCGAATGAGGAGCGGGCTCCAGGTGGGGCCCGGGTCATGGTAAAGCGCGGGGATAAGACTTCGGTTCGAATTGTTCGTCTTCCAGTGCTGAGTGATCAAGTTATGAAGCGCTGGAGGGTGGTCAAGGGACCTGCTGAGGGACAGATGGTATGGGTTTCCACTGAGGGGGATCTGAAGTGGGACGCCCCGCCAATCGACATGCTGACGGTCGAGGAGGCCACAGGCGACTTCATCAAGCCCGAAGCCGACGATGTTGTTGCCATGATGAAGTATAAGCTTGCGAACCCAGAGGGAGCTGAAGGAGCAGAGAAACTGTTTACCCTTTTTGGACATGGCTTCCTAGTTCACTCTTCGTATGACGCAGTACCGAGTGCAGTCGCTGCGCATGTGGAGGAATTGGATGTCAACCAGCGTCGCAACAAGGAGGCTAAGGACAAGTACTACATCTTGGCATATCGTCTCGAGGAGGAGATGAATGAGCATGAGCGGACCTTAGCAATGCAGGCTCAGGGCACCGTGGAGATCGGCGAAACCGTGCCGCAGAGCATCCTGACTGGAAACGCCATATCGGAAGCAGAGCTGGAAAAATGGCTAACCGAGGGCGTGGGCACGGAACTTGAAAATCTTGCTAGCAAGGATGTCTACGATGAGGTAGAGAAGAGCAAGGTTCCCGCAGGTGTGAAGCCGATACCCACAAAGCTAGTGTTGAAGCGCAAGCCAGTGAACAACATTGCCGATGAAGTTGAGGGCATCGCCTCAGCTGAGCACGCATCGTTGAGAAGTTGGCAGGCCAAGGCAAGGTTAGTGGCATGTGGAAATTGGGAGAAAGGGACAACACCACATGCTCCAGAGAACCAATCCTTGAACCCAGGAGCGGAAGCAATACGGATCGCAGCAAGCTTGTTGGCACGACACCAGGACTGGACAGGACTTGTGTTGGACATCAGCGCCGCATTCCTCAATGCAAAGATCCAGGGCGAGGACGTGTACGTGTCCCCACCGCCAGCATTGGTAAAGCGCAACATCATTAGCGGATCAGTGCTCTGGAAGCTAAAGCGGGCCCTCTACGGTTTACGCCGTAGCCCGAAGCTGTGGGAGCATGACAGAGATGCAGAGGTTGAGGCAAAGAGGGTAGTTGGTCCCGATAGTCAGTGTCTGAAGTTGGTTCGCCTAGAGCCTGGAGTGTGGAAGGTGATCGACGAGTCGGATGTTGATCAAAACCCACTGGCCTTGGTTGTTTTCTACGTAGACGATGGGCTTTTGGTGGGACCCCCAACCCTAGTTGCTGCACTGGCAAAGGCGTTCATGGAGTCTTGGACATTGAAGATTTAAGGCATGCTATGCTCCAGGGATTTTGCGGAGCATGATGTGTTCACCTTCAGTGGTCTTGAGATCCCAGTACGAAGTGAGCTGACCTTCCTTGGGTGCAAGCTTAAGCGAGACGTAGCCGGTGTGTTCATTCATCAGACACATTGGTTGGAAGCTGAGCTTGTGAAGAGAGGGCTTTTGCACTTGAAGGGCAGCGCATCCTTGCCGGAGTTGCCAGAGGGCACTATCCTGCCGGATCCACGTGAAGCTAGCTTTGCAGAAGATTTGAAAACCGCGCAATCACACATTGGAAGCTTGATGTGGCTAGCACTCAAGAGCAGACCGGACGTCGCAGCAGTGACAGGCGGAATAGCGTGCATCGCAACGCTCAGTCCAACGAAGGCAGTCAAGTTGGCTGTAGGGGTGTGGCGCTATCTGTTGTACACAAAGACATGTGGTCTGTGGTACCAGAATGCAACTGGAATGAGTGATCCGGTGCATTTCTATGGTGATGCATCGCTAGGCGTAGGCGCAAGTCGCAGCCGCACCGGTGCACTTGTCACATGGGGACAGCATGTCATCACATGGCGCTCGTGTCGACAATCCATCACGGCATGGAGCGCATTTGAAGCAGAAGTGGATGCTGGGGCAACAGCGCTGGAAATGGGCATCAAGGTACGAGAAACACTTGAACGGCTCACGATGCGCAGGCCGGCTGCGACTCTGTATGGAGACAATGCCGCGTGCCTCACCAACCTCTTGAAAGGACACCAAGATCACCAAGCTACGAGAACTAGGCATTTTGGCTTGCGCTGCAGCTGGGTTCGTGACCAGGCGGTCTCAGAGGGAATCGCTATCAAGTACATGAGCGGTACGGCGATTCCAGCGGATCCATTGACAAAGATTCTGGGGCGCAAGGCTCTGGAGCAAGCGAGGCCAAAGTTGTCTGTCGTTGACTCGCATGCATTGCGAGCGAAGTGCGAGACTCTGGACTAGACGAAGCTCTCGTTACAGAAGTCTGCCTGAACGACAGGTGGGTCATTGTGTCTCTCATGAGTTGCAGTGCTCACCGAACGAGTTTTCTTCTTCGCTCCTAGTGTTTTTGTGGTAAATGCTGGAACTTTTGAGGGCAGCATTTCACCGTACACCATGACGGAGTGAAGGTAGGCAAGTTGCGTCTGGAACGCCCACTGGTTAGTACTCCGCTTGCTTATGCAATCGTCACTACACACTTTTGAGCACTTTTCCCTGTACAGCGAAATGTGAGGAGGAGTGTGTTTGGTAGTGACTTGTCATGCATGCATATGTAAGCATTGCTTCGCGGAGTCTGAACAGACTCATTCGCACTATCCAGTGCCACCATCGACGTGGCTCAAGCAATGGTGCACAAATCGAGAAGTGTACCGAGTTCTGGCAAGGGCCTCAGCTTGGAAGCTGGGTTTGGGTTTGTGGTGGTGGTGTTCAGGGCACCCGGTACCCTAGTCCCGGACCTTTCAGGGTCCTTCGGAGCTTGATTTGCAGATGGTGATCGGAAGTAGCGGTGATGCCTAGTGATTATGATGATGTACCGTATCAGATAAGACAGGCGTTGCAGCAACAGCAGCAACAACAGCAGCAGTCACCGGCGTTTAGCATCGTTACCGATAGCAGTCCGCAAACACAGGCTGGATCGGTCCGTGTTGTTGCACCGCAGGTACCGCGCAGGACGCCCACTGCGCCCAGCCGCTTGCCTTCCAGTGAGCAGTGCTACAGCGGTCAGGCCTTCGCGCTGGAGGTCGACCGCCATTCCGACCGCTCCCGCCAAAGGCCGCGCAGGGCGCCTTGGCCGCAGTGGGCGTGCGGGCTTGGAAGGTCTTCCTCCTGTTGCCACGCTGCTCATTGCTATCAGCCCCGGCAAATGTTGCAACGCGCACACCCGCTGCGCGCCAGCCACCGAGGTTTTGCAAAAAGACCTTCCCAGGAGGTCCCCCTTTCGGCTGGTGGGGGAAACATTGCGCACTTGGACGGCTGCTGCAGGCCTGTTTGGCGCCACCGTTGCGCTGTACAAGCTGCCCCTGGATGATGCGGCAGCGCTCGAGTCGTTCACCTTTGCAGTGAATCTTGCCGCCCGCACCCAGGCTCCACAGGTAGCGCTGTTTGCCATTGCCCTCTCGCGCCTCACCGCCCTCTGCACACCTGACGGAGGTGTCCGAGGCCCGCTCGTTTCAGTTCGCACTGCTGATCTGTGCCGATACTAACAGCTTGGCGGCGATGCTGCATGAAGCTGTGGAACTCGACCCGAAGGCCATTGTCGTGTCTGTCGATGGGCGAAATGCTTACGACACCATGAGCCGCGTGACTGTAACTTGCCGAGCTACGCGATGCCTTCCTCGTCCTGCCTTTTACCCGCACCATGTATGCGCGCACCTCCACTTACTTGTGGTGGGACGACGAGGGACGAGTGCACGGGATCGCGCAGGCTCACGGTGTCGCGCACAGTGACCCCTTCGCACCTGGACTCTATGCGTTTGGCCAACACAACTCGCTGGTTGCTTCTTTGTAGTCGTATGGATGTGTTGCTGTTTTGTTGACCTGTGCGTTGTCACCGTGCCGGAGAGCGCAGCACCGCTCCTGTAGGGTCGAGGCCGACCTGGGCAAGACGCGGGTCTTCAACGCTGCAGGCGGGGATGCGCCACCCGGCGTCGACGTCATGGGCACGGACGTCTGGCTCGGCAACGAGCCCCCGGAGCAGCGCAGCGTGGCTTCGTCGCTCTTGGCGTGCCCATACGTCCCCCCGACTTCGTTAAAACCCAAACCGCCAATCGTTTTGAATTGTGGTCGACTTGCTCCGGAAACTCACGCGGCTCCCCGGTTTCCAGTGCGCCTGGCTCTTGCTCGCTTTCTGTGCGGCGGTTGCGACCAGCATCTGTTCCGAAACGTACCCCCAGCCAACATTTTACCGTATCCTACCCCACGCTCGCGGTCACGACGATGTCGTCTGGGCAGTCGTTGAAGGCATTTGAAAGCCCAGTGCAAGCTCGTTCGGCGACCAAAGGCCAAAGGCCCACTGTTGCTCGCCAGGTCGTTTTTTTGCCGCCGAGCCTGGGAGGCCTCAGTCTCTAGCCAGCGGAGCGGGCATCACCCGCAGAATGCTGACGTTACCCCGACGCAGCAGCCCGGCTAGTACAAGAGCTTGAGGGCGAACCGGCGTGGCCTTGCCAGCATGCAGCTGCGGAAGCTGCACGCCAGCTCCCTGGCAAGGACTGGACGAGCAGACCGGATGGGGGGTCCAGCGCTCCCGGATGTGCCGGCCGCTGCAAATGAACTCAGCCCGGGGAACCGAGGTTGGCAGCGACATGCCGTGCTCGCACTCCACACTTCCTTTCAAGAACGCCGTGTTACTTCCGGCCTTGGTGCGCCCTCAGTCCGGTCCGCAGGCGACGGTGTCGAGGCCAGGTCGAGGCGAGCTGGAGCAAGGAGCTGGCCAGTGCCCTCTGCGCCGCAACAGCACTGATGCTGCTTCAGCGAAACACATAAGCCGCACGCAGAGCCGACAAACGCACGCCCCGCTCACGCTCGTGCCAGTCGAGGGAAAGTTGGAGGCCACTGGCTGCCGCTCACCGGAGCATCCGGAGCGAGTGGCGCAAGTGGTGTCGACCAGAAGGGCAAACCATGCAATTTCAAGCGGGCGCGCATTCGGCAAGGAAGTTCGCTGCGAAAGCGAGCAGCCCCAAAGAACGAGCCACTCACGCCGCACGCGCTGTCGCCCGCATGGCCGCCTTTAACCGCCTATACGTCCGAGGCACGCTGCTCGGCGAGCATGCGGGGGCCAAGTGGATGTCTTCACGGCTCTAACACTTGTGGTGGCTTGCCTCGTATCAGCCCGCAACCCTCAGAGAAGGCTTCGGCAGAGGAACTGCGCATAAATCTTCTCGCACGACGTGCGCCCGATCGAGATCGTTTGTTTTCGGAATCGTTTGGAACGGCCTGCCGCTTTGGCACGGGGATCAGCTTGCTGTCGATACCACCTGCATCAGCCCTGTCACTCGCTCCGGTGAGCCGCGGGCCTCGCACTTCAGCACGCGACCCGGCGCAAGCCACGAGACACCCACCCCGAGCTGTCGCACTCATGCTGCCACCTCGTTTCGCCGTCGAGACCGGCGGTCTCGCGTCAGCACCGGGGACGGGGCAGCCAGCGCGAGTAAGGCGGGAGACGATGCGTCGCAGCACAAGGCCTCGCCGTTGCTCGTCGATCCGTGGACAACGAAGTCGAGGCGGCGACGGTCGGCGCGAAGCTGCGGCGTGGTTTTTTTCCGACACACCTTTTTGCAACAGCACGAAGGCAACGGTCTGGTCCTTGTGCACACTCCAAACTACGAGGACGCGGATGGGCTTGCAGCGCCGCTGAAATGCACGTCACCGTGCGGGCAGGCGACTGGGATGTGGCGAGCTGTCTAGCCGGTGCTCGGCGAGCACGTCGCCGAGGTCAGGGGGCGAGCCATCGACGTTTGCCGCGCTGTGGAGGACAGCGAGGCTGCAAAGGACCTGGCAGCTGCAAACGCGAGAAACCGAGACCATCGCGGCGGGCGCGGGTCTGCGCGACAGCCACTGTTGCGGCACGACCCGACCCTCCGGGCCGGCCCCCTCGCGAGCGACCGGAACCCACGCCCTTTCAACGACGAAACAACACGAAACCACGCCGAGACAGCAGGCCCGTGATAGTCCCCGTATGCATCGACCTGAGCCCCACAGCCGTTTCGCTCTTCCGCGCCGCAATACAACGGCGTGAAGGGCAAGGGCAACCGAAGGCGGCGCCTCATTGCGACGTGCATCCGGTCAAGGTGCAATGGTGGACACTGCGTCCGACGGAACCGCGGCAAGCCACATACCGGCAGTCGTCGCCTTTGCTGCCGGCGAAACGGCTATGCACAAGACGAACGCTGGCTGCATGCCTGCACGCCCCTACCCCTAGCCGGACTCCCGGCGAGGACCTAGGCTGCAGGCACAACGTAGTCGACAGGTGCCCTTGGACCGCGTGCGTACCGGTCGAAGGCCGTTTCCGGTGGTGCCAGGGGGCCTCGCTGGTAGCAGCACTTCCGTAGGACCAGGTAACCACTAACATTCGGGACCGGGGTTAATGTGGGTGTCGGTTTAGTAGTAGGGTACCCCCCCCCGACCAAAAAGAAAATTCTATTTAAAGTGGAGCCGGACAGGGGTCAGGGGTCTGAGTGGCAGGGAATTGGGAGGTGCCGGGGTTTGGGGGGTTGGCTTGGGTGCAGGGTCTGCGGTTCTGCGCGAATGCGCGGTCGGGGGTCGGGGGGGGTTGGGGATCACCAAATGCTGGAAACCAAGCCCCGATCACTGACTACCACCAAGATTAAACTCCCTTCATTTTGAACACTTTTGCTTCCGTAACCTACACTCACACACTCCCACCCACAATCGACCACGTCTGAAGCTTTGTGCGGTACAATAATAGTAAAGTAGTACAATAGTAGTACAGTAGATATAATACAGTAGTAGTACCATAGTAGTACAATAATAGTGCAGTAGTACAATAGTAATACAACAGTAGTACATTGGTGGTATAATAGTAGTACAGTGTACAGTAGTACAATAGTAGCACAATAGTAGTACAGTAGTAGTACGATAATAGTACAGTAATACAATAGTAGTACAGTAGTAGTACAGTAGTAGTACAGTAGTAGTACAATAATAGTGCAGTAGTACAATAGTAACACAACAGTAGTAGAGTGGTAGTACAATAGTAATACAGTAGTAGTACAATAATAGTACAGTAGTGCAATAGTAGCATAATAGTAGTACAGTAGTAGTACAGCAGTAGTACGATTATAGTACCGTAGTACAATAGTAGTACAGTAGTAGTACACTAGTAGTGCAGTAGTACAATAGTAATACAACAGTAGTACAGTGGTACTACAATAGTAGTACAGTAGTAATACGATAGTAGTACAGTAGTACAATAGTAGTACAGTAATAGTACAGAGGTAGTACAATAGTAGTACAGTAGTACACTAGTAGTACAGTAGTAGTACAACAGTAGTACAGTCAGTAGTACAGTAGTACAGTAGTACAGTAGTAATACAGTAATAGTACAGAAATAATACCAATAAGCAAAGCATAAAGCCAGTGAGCACATTCCTCCAATAAGCAAAGCATAAAGCCAGCGCCTGAAACCCTAAACCCTAAACCCTGAACCTTGAACCCTAACAAACCCTAAACCCTAACGAACCCTAAGCTCCTAAACCCTAACAAACCCTAAGCCCTAAGCCCTAAACCCTTCCCAAAGGGGGGTCGGTCCAGATTGGACCCAAAATTGAATTATTTATACAACCGTTAGTACTGGAGAGGCCTTTTTTGAGCTAGGGTCCAATCCCCGATTCGGCGGTTCACCCGGGACCCTAGCAGCCCCCCCCAATAAGCAAGGCATACAGTAGCAGTACAATAGTACAATAGTAGTACAGAGTCCCATTCCACCAAAAAATCATCCCAGCCAAAAAAAAACGCATTAATTAGTACCCCAAAAAATCTACTCGGATTCGGAATTAACCCCGGCCGTGACGCACAAAAGGAGCTTATACTACAAAACCGACACCCGCTTTACCGGAAACAGGTCCAAAAAAAAAAAGAGGCAAAGACAAAGCGCGCCCCTAGAAGCGCAGTGGGGCAGCAGCCGTACAAGTGGTAGGCGTAAAAAATTTAGACGAAATGTTAGAATCAGTTAGAAAAAAATGTAGCCCTAGCTGAACTACTGAGCATGTGTGTGTCCACAAGAATTTCATAGCGTTCAGAACGACACACACATCCAGGGCATTTGGGATGCCTCTTTCCGTCCAGTCATCAGCCTGAGTAGTAACATCGTTGTGTGAGCTTTGCCCACATGTGCACCCAGATTGCCCATGTATCCATCGAGGTCGTGCGGTGGAGCTGCTGCCAGACTACCGACCGCCAGCTTCGACAATGGTTTGTTTGCGTTGTCGGGCTTGGCTGATGTGAGGTATATTGCAGTTTCGGCAGCAGGTTCTGTGCAATGATGGATGTACGATTAACCGCTTGCCAGGTTTACCGAACGATTTTTGTAGGTGGGTTTCGATGACATTCACACTTCAAGCATGCAGCAAGCAATGCAGCAAACATTTAATTTGTATGAGACGCCAGGCTATTCTTCTCTTACCAGCAGGAGTCTGAACCTCAGCAGTGCGGAAAAAGGGAAATCGGACCGTGGCGTTTCGACATTACGAATTCGATTCATTATGGTATACCAGCTGATTGGGGCCAGAAGCCGGGCCCAACAATGTCATCCATGTTCGATGTTTGGTCGTTTGGCGTCCTCCAACCTTAGGAGCCAAGGACATGTCCTCGCTTGTTGCATTTGCCGAGGATGGATGAATTTGTCAACAAGTTGCAGGCAGAGCTTCCGATCACACAGTAGTTTGCGAGGGGGTTTTCGGTTTGGCGGGATAAGCGACCCATTTGTGTGCCGTGAATCGAAGAGCGGCAGTTAGCCGATCAGGGCTGCATGCGCGCGGTTTTCGGGCTCTAATTGGATTGCGCATTCGTGCGAAAGACCTCGTCGAGCGCGCCTTCCGAAGCCGCCTTTCATTTGTACCTCGTGCAGCCGCAAATAAAATGAGTTGTCCCGTGTAACTCCTCCGAGTGGTGCCCTGCTCTAAAAGGCAAAGTGCCGAACTCGTTTGTTCTCGTTTGAATCCCCAAACACCATAAGAAACAGTACCAGCCGAGATTTCCGAAGTCCCGAGACAGGAGCAGCTTCGTGAATTTACCACGGCGGAGGGCCGCATCAAGACCGTGAAGGCCTAACCCTCCGGGTTGCGAAGAACTGATTCAGAAGTTTTTTTTGAGGCTTGCATGGCCGTGGCTTTCATATTCAGTTCAAATTTGTATTCAGTTCAATTATCTATGTGAGAGAACTTTTTTTTGCGGGCATGCCGAGTCACCTGTAGCAGGTGCTGATAAGATCTCGACGGCCGCAGCTTTTGGATCGGTTTAGATGCTGGGAGTATGGGAAGGGAGTATCTCGAAGCATTTCTGGGCCCACCCCTCGGAATCACAGCATCCGTGTTGATGCCGGCATGGTACAGAAGCGACTTGACTAGACGATTGGGTGCCATTCCGTGCCGCGGCAAGACGTGTTTACATGGGCATGGGCTCGAAATGATGCGTGTCAGAGGGAGAGCCAGTATTTTCGCGGCCTGCATGTTTTGCTGCATGAGCATCAATGCTAACCAGCGTGGTTCCAGTAATGCTTCCCTCCATGGACATACTTTGCACACCATTGTAAGTACCCTTGTTTTCTAGACCATAACAGTACTGCATGGGAGCTCCAGAAAGCAGGGGCTGGGATGTTGACCCTAAGTAGTAGAGCCCCCGCATTCAAACAGAAGGGATCTCAATGGAATTGGAGCTGCCCACATCTTTCTGGCTCTTCGCCACGCTGTTCTTGGAGCTGGTCTTGCTCGTGCGAGTGTTGTGCCTGACAGCTGCATGGCGGCAAGTACAGGTGTTGATTCTTTGTGGGAGTTTCGGTTCAGTACAGACTCTAAAGCCGTTAATTAAAGGCTCCTTTTCTTCAGCCCTGCTTCTCAGAAGCCATTGTTAATTCTTGCCGAAAGTGCACGGGAAAGCCAGCAAATCGAGGTTTTACATCGGCGCTACATCCATGATCTTGTGTCCAAGTTTCGCAGAAGCATCTGCAATATGATCCACTGTGAGAGCTGCAGCAGGGTGAAGCTTTCGGGAGTGCTCGGCGAGAAGATCAATGGCATGCGCATGATTATGGCGCATGCTTACTTGAACGTGCTGGTTTTCGTGGTGCTGTTGTTGGTGATTTTTTCGCAGAGGGTGGTTTTGCTGGATTTGACCTCTACGGTGACATACGCTTTCCGGTGGCACCTCCTGTTCATGCTGGCTGTGGGCACTGCTCATTTGATCAGTCCCACATGGATGCTCAAGACACCCATGACCTGCGATTTATGTTATCTGCTTGTCATGGCATCTGTCACGGCCGTGGCACTCCTGCCGGATCCCGGGGCGCCGGACCACGCATGTGCCAACAAATCCCAGAGTAGTATAAGTACAAGTTATAAGCATGCCGAAACGATCAGGGTCCATCGCATCGTTCTCGTCAATTGAGAGTTTTGCTAAGATGAAGGACCACATGCTATTCACGGATACCGCGTGCCTGGCTATCCTCTACCGTGTGCCAACACTCCTGCTGCCCAGCCGACTCTGGCTGGTTTTTTGTGCCAACCTCGTCTACGCGATCTGCAGCTTGGCTAGGCAATGGATCTTGAAGGCCAGTGAGTGCGATAGGTCCCATTTGATCGGCCCTTCGCGGGCCAGGTCCCCCGAACCCACGCCAAGTGCAAAAGCCCTGAGCATTTGTTCTGTGAGGTTCCATCGGTAAAGGTCCAGGCCACTTTGTCGCAGTTGAGGCAGGAGGCATGCGGGTTTATCAGTCTTTGGCCTTGATGCGATGCCTCGCCACGTCGATCATGAGAGAGTCGTGGTGCTTTGGGCAGTTTCTGCTCTTGCTGCTCATCACGACCTGCTTCATCGGGCTCCGGTCACTGCTGAAAACACGAGTGCCTCGGCAGATCGCAATGAAGAATGCCCGTAGTCTCACTGGAGTAGTTGAAATGACTCCAGTCGCAGCTCCGCATCCGGTTTTGGCTCAGGCAGAGCAGGATTTTCGCAATGCCGAGGCGTGGGGCAAGATGCCTGCCTAGCTACCACGTCCTCTGTGTCTGTCTGTGTGTGTGTGTGTCTGTCTGTGTGTGTGTGTGTTCTGTTGCTTATAATGATTGGTTGTGCAGACCTTGCACCGATGCGTGTGTAGTGGGTGCTGCGAGACCAATATTGCAAATTTTGTTTTTGTTTTTCGATAAGCCGAACAGAAAGCTTGCAGATTGAATGGACTGAAGATTGAAGTGATGTTCTTTTGGCCCGCGAGAGCAGGCTGCAAGATGTTTGTCGGCTTGGTTTTGTTTGGCTTGGCTCGGCTTGGCTCTTCGGGTCTGGCTCAACTTTGGGTATGTTTATGTTAGGCACGGCTTGAGCCAAGCCAAGCCGCACCAAAATCATTTCCAAATGACCCAACCTCGCGGGTCCTGAAGGCAACAACGGAGCTTCGGGTGGCTACGGCACTGCTGCCCCTTTGGCTGACGATGGGGGGTTACAACATCCACTTGGCCAGCCTACTGCACTGGGTTTGCTTGCGGCTGCAGTGAAAGCTTTTGACATGCTAGGGGTGCCCTGATGTTAGTACCACCGCATTTTAGAATGGCAGACCTTGGCAAGTGAGGAAGCTCATTTGCGACGCGGTGACGCTTGGTGCTAGCCATATCAATCCAGTACTGTGGGGCAGGCGTGGCAGGTGGCGGAGGCCGTGACTTCTGTCTGTTCCTTCGCATTTTTCTTGTTTTGCAGCATGCTGTCTCCGAGGATTGAGTTGGATGGCTCCCTGCGATTGTGTCATCACTCCCCAGAACTCGCAGCCGCTGGACTGAGAGGCTACCGTCAGTATCTCCTGCCCTTCAGCCCTTCTGGTATCAGTGCCGTGTCCCTAGGAAGTGTCTCCTAGTGCTCCGCACCCCGCAGCGCAAACTTGAATCCCCAGACCCCAAACCCTAACTGAAGCCTGAGCAAGAAACCGCCCTGATGTTGATCTTGCTCGCCAGAGTTGAGGGAGGACGAAGGTGCACTAGGTCTAGCGGCTTCAAGCGATGAGTACTGGAACCACCCATCAGCCAAACTTGGCATTCCGACTCCTAACCGGCAGAAGGAACCAGGGTTAAAACAGCCCTGCAAAGCCGACACGCGAACCTCCACCAAGGCCATCTTGTTGCGGGATCGGCCCGGCTTCAGCTTCGAAGGGACAAAGTTTCAGGATCTGGCGCGGGCCCTGTCTGGGACCAGGGGGGCCGCCTGAACAGCCTCTAGAACGGAGTCTGGGGCTCCCCTAAAACAGCCGAGGTGGCCACATCCTGGGAGGCCCGAGAGGCTGCGCTGCAGCTAAACAGAGGAGACGAGGCGGAGGAACCGCTGCTGGGACGAACAGAGGACAAAACAGAACATGGCGGAGTCGATTCCCCGCAGTTTAGACAGCCCTGCTTCTGGTCTGCCCAGGATCGCTCAGTCCTTCCACACGCGGCTTCAAGACAGCTGTTTCAGAGCTAATTTCAGCTCGGGATTCCTGTCAACAGCTGCTTCTTGATAAAGGAATCCCGGAAGACCAAGTTGCTCCAGATTCTGTTGCGGCCGCGATGGAGACCAGCTGAGGTTCGAGCAAGTTCCGCACGGAGGTCTTCCATGTGAAGTACTGCAAGCCGGACTGGATCCTGATGTTAGGGATCAAATGACAGGGAACGTAGCTGTTTAAGTGAAGCCCCACAGTGCACCAGAAAACAGGCTCCGGGTCCTGGCAAATTCCGTGGAGTCGAAGGCATATGAACCCTTGCCACCGATGAGCATCCCGTCTTGAGGACGGACAGACAAGCCACCTTGTCGGCCTCCGCGACTTTACGGACGGCTCAAGGGCTGCGAGAGTAGGCAGTTCTAGCAGAGGCAAGACTCCCGCGAGGACCAAAGCTCCCTTCGCCGCGAAGCTCCCGCAGAGGTGCCTGCCACTCCCTCAGAGAAGAGGGAAGGGACGGGACTACGACCCCAGAACCCAAGTACCCAAGTCTTCAGGGCCGGGACAACAGTGGCAGCGCCCTGGTTCGGGACAACAGCGCCCCGGATTTCTCAAGCCGGGGCTCTGCAACAGAGGAGATGTCCAACATGGCAGCTCGGCCAGAAAAGCGGCTCCAGACTTCCACATCTTCCACTCACTCACCACTCCTTCAGCCACGGCTCAGGTTTTGCTGAGTCTCGACGTGGCTGGGCTGCACTGATGCACGCGCACCATCTTACCGGGGATGGGGGGCACAGCAAAAGGGCCATGCGCAGTGGACCAACCGTCCGGTCTGTAGCTCTGGTGACTTCCGACCTGGTGCATCGAGCAGACGAGGTGGAGCGCATGTGTGTGGAGGCTGCTTCTGCTCCAGCCACCAGCCACCCGGCGACATGCTCTACTCTGCCTTTGCATTTTGCTTATCTGCGAGCTTGCGGAAAGCAACGTAGCGTAGCAACAATGCCGGATACGAGAGTCTCTTCAACATACAGCGTTACAGCAAACCAGGTTTGGTTGGAATGGACCTGGTCACGCTGTTCCCCGGCCCCGGCGCAGAACTGCTTCGGGACATGTGGTCTAAGGAGCAGAGAGTTTCTGTTTTTGTGGCCTCTACGGAAGCCGGCTTGCGGCTGACCCGCCTCCAGGAGACCTTTCGGTTCCAAGCGGCGAGTTCAGCTCCCGGCCGCCAGGACTCTAGGGCCTTTTTGGGGTTTCAATAGCTGTCTTAAGGTCTGGAGTCTATAAGGCTTTAGAGTTTGAGGGTTTTGGGGCTTTAAGCTTTAGGCTTGTTGAACTCTGCACCGCTTGGCCGGGCTCGTAGCTCCTGGTTCACAAGAAGCTGCTCCGAAATCTACAACTCATGTCTGGGCTCAGCGCCAACCTCTTCCCACTCAGCAGGTGAAGAGTAGTCTCCGCATGTCTCCGCACGTAGGGCCCAATTACCCGGATGGGTCACTGGGAGGGGGGGGAACAGGGGCAGGATGGGACGTCTCTCTGGAGTTTGCCAAGTTTCTGAAGCTTAGGTTAGAGTGAAGCAGAGGGAGTGGGCAGTTTTTGGGCACGCCAGGAGCTGCCACCTCGTGTTTTCGTGTTTGTGAAGATGGTGGTGCAATGGCGCTCGGAGCTTGTTGACCACATCGACGGGTGCGTCGAGGCGTGTTGAATACACCAAAACTTCACGAGCGTGTCTGCGATGGGGTTTGCGACCATCCAACCCTTCGATAAACTGTCCAGCATCAATCCAGCACTGCGAAGGCCATCCGAACAGACAAAGGGCCCATCAAGCTGCTGATGCGCTGCCGGGGCAGCCTCCTAAGCTCCTCCTCTAGCATCCGCTCCTCAAGCTTGGCTCAGGCGAGGGGGACTTTCGAAACAGTAGTCAGCAGTCCTTTCGCGGCAGGCATTGCTCTTGTGCCTGGGATATGGAGATGAGCGTGAATGCACAATGTTCATACGGTCCATATGTATGCATGTGCACGCAGATCGACCTGTCATCACATGACATCAGTGACCTCTCCGTTCAGACAGTACGGCGCGGCACGGCGCTAAAGTAACTGACCATAACTGACCGAACAGAGCAGAGCAGGACATACCAGAACAGACAAGAACAGACCAGACCAGACCAGAACAGAGAACAGAACAGGACATCGCATCACATCGTGACATGAGAGGACAGACATAATGCATAACAGAACATGTATAGTGATAGTGTAGCAAACCAACACATAGGAAAGCATCAAACGCAGGTGCATACACAACTGCGCATTCCCACACATGTTGTGTGTATATATGTATATACTTGAGATAGCGTTATACAGTGTACACACACATGTAACACATGTATATATATATATATGTACATATATGTGTATACACATATATACACATACATACATATGCATACAGGTACATGTGTATGAACACAAACAGATACAGATGTGCACATGCATATGCAGACATACATGCAGACACATCTACCTACCTACCTACCTACCTACCTACCCATGTACCTACGTTCATTCCTACCTCTCACGCGCGTACATGCAAAAATACGTCCATGCAGAGAATGAATATATATATATATATATATATATATATATACATATGTAAACATATGTATGTATGTATGTATGTGTGTATGTATATATATATATATATATATATATATATATATATATCAGCATGCATACACGCTTACATGCGTAGGTACCTACATACATGCATACATACACATGTACAGACTTGCCTACATGCATACAGACATATACATACACATGCACACACAGATGATCATAGATGCGTGCGTAAACTATGTACATACATACATACATACATACATACACACATGCACATACACATGCTTAAAAAGACATACGGCTTTTCCCATATTTACGTAGATGAATACATACATACTTACTGACACATGCACATACTTACACATACGTATGTGTTCTTGCATACCTATACATACATATACATGATATACGTGCATACAAACATGTATACATGTTTGCATTTACACACAGGAGCATGTACACACATTTTCATTCGTACATGCACATGTACATACATTTACATACGTTTTCAGACATCGTGCATACATAGGGTGTTTACCATTCATTCATTCGCATACGCACTCGTAAGGAACGTGAGTTCTTGATCGATGTCAGCTCGGAAGGCACACAGCGCGCGAACACACAAGCATGGAACAACAGGCTCAAACACGAAAGCTGCATCACATTCACCGCATGAAGAAGAAAGGACTGAGAAGAGGGAAGAGCTAGGTCATCGGGGTTTTAGGGTTTGGGGCTTCAGGAGCCATGGAGTGAGCTGTAGAACCTTGGCGGATCAGGCCTCTGAAGGGCGACTTCTCTCTGTGGTCCCCGGCGGCATTGAGGACGACATCCACTTTCTGGGATAAAGACTGCCCGCATAATACTTTGCGTATCTTTGCATAGCTCCGAATCTGTCCGAGTTCGCTTGCATATTACAGGCACTCTCGGCAGCCGGAAAGTTTGATTAGAGTTGAAGTACAGTTTCTCTACTGCTTCTTGGGCAGTCGAAGGCTGACCCCGCCCTACACACAGAAAAAGATCCTTGCTAGTAGTTCCTTGCTACTAGCTCGTCCTGCGCACGGCTTTTCCCACAGGCCCAGGCTTGTTTTGTTCAGTTTCACATCGCTTTGTCGAAGCGCGGGCTGCTGGCTTTTTCGAGCCCAAGAAGGGATCGAAAGGTACCGAGGGCGTGGGGCCAGGACGACAAACAGCACAAAACGGCTTCGCTCAGATTTCGCCAGTCTTCGGCCGTTTTGGCCACTGGCCCCATAGAAAATACCCCAATGCTGCAGGCCAAAGCCCATACGTTTTGCGATACTCCGTGCGAAAATCGTGTTTGCTTGGGGGGGTGGCTGGCACGCTGCATTCTTCACTTGGTACAGAGTCCTGATACGGGTTTGGTTTGAGATTGTGGTCTGGGGGGCCATGCAAGTCAGGTCAGCCTACTTTCGCCAAAGCCCCGATACCCGGAACAGGCTTGCAACCGAAGGATGGCGAATCATGGCCATCATTTTGTAGAGGCCCATGGACCACGACGGTTTTCGAGGCTTGACCGGATGTTCAGCTTTGTCCCAGCAGGTTTCAGCAGTTTCATTTTATTAGGACCCGTGGCTTCCAGCACGCAATAGCTATACAACCAACATCAAGTAGATTATTCTCCGGTGCCGATGGCGGAGACGAGTGCGTCCGAAGCTGCCACAGACGCTTGGGTGATCACCCAGCAGGACAAAGGCTCTCTCTTTCTCTCTCTCTTTCTCTCTCTCTCTCTCTCTCTTGCTTTTTGGGTGTGTGTGTGTGTGAGCATGCTCGTCGTACTCCGTATGTCGGTATCTTCACGCTTCTGTTCTCGTGCTTGCACCTGAGATTCTTGCTTTGGTTTCCTTTGTTAGTCGGAGTTATGAGTACATCAAGGAAAGCGAGGACGCCGATGATGACGAACCTGGGCTGTGGGCTGAGGCCCCGGGCGAGGATCACAAGTCTTCTGTCAATGAAAAGGCTTCATGATGACAAATGGTTAAGGAAACTGAAGATACTGTATATACACGTGTTGAATCGATAGCGCGATAGACGCATATGTAGTCATGTGGGTTGGTAGCTAGCCAGCTAGCCTTTTTTTTTTCTCCCTCTCTCTCTATGCACATGCGTGTATACATTTTTTTGAATATCTCTATGTATCTCTATCTTTGTCTCAGGATTTCTCCTCAGCTGCCCCCTTCCAACCTAACACTGTCAGTTCTATTCCGTCAGCAGGGTCCAGGCCGATGTTGAAAGAGGGCAGGCAGCTGCATGTGCCTTAGACAAACAACAAGCAGAGAAAGAAGCTGGAATCTGACACGGTGGGTCTTGCCTGGCTGTGTCTGGGAGGTGAGGGCCTGGCTTCTTCCTTGTTTTTGCTGCGCCGGCCTCCAGCGCCTCATGGCCACGAAGGCGCTTCAAAAAGCGCCGGTGCCTTCGCCGCCAAAGATGCGGCCAGAGGCGTCCGCTGAGGCAGAGGCATGGCCGGGCGAGACAGGGATTTCGGGGTCGCATTGCAGCAACCGGCGGGTGTGTGGGGTGGTGAGCTGTGCTTGCGTCAAGGTGACCTCGGCTGAAGGCCTCAGAACGGGGGCGGCGAGGACGAATCGGACGAGCTGCGTGAGCCACATGAGGTCCGACGGCTCCGCCTTCTCCTACCCTTTCCTTTCCGTGGACAGCCTGACGCGACTGGAGGAAGTGGAGGACAGGGCGACACAGGGCGACAAGTGCCACGCCTTGTCGAAGCTCAGGGCGAATAAAGTAAACTATAGGATCCAAAAAAGGATGCTGCTTTCTCGGTCCTGCCTGGTGTTATCACCGCAGGAGGGTCGGCCTGAGGACCGGAGCGAGGAGGAGCTGCAGGCAACAGTGGAGCGCTGGACTGCCTACCTCCACCCTCGTGCCAAGGAGGCGATCATGAGACCAGAATGAGGGGTTTTGTAAGTTCAAACCGCGTGCGCTGCACCGCTGTCAGAATGTTGAGATATGAGTTCAAACACGGTTGACCGATAGGACCCTTGGAAGGCATCGGGACGAGCGTTTCCAACCTCGAAGCCCAACAGCTTTGATCGTTGGGTTTTTTCGTTCAAGCGAAGAGGACACAGAGCTTTTGCGCGGGCGTTCAGCACTTTCGTAGCATCCTCTGCTTGTGCCCGCCATCCTCGCCCGCCATCCTCCGACATCCTGTGCACCCGACCGACCAGCTGAACAGGTCTACGACGAGTCGAGCCTGGAGGCCGCGGGCCTCTGATAGTGTGTTAAGTATGTGTAAGTTTATCTACCACTGAACTCTTGTCTGGTCTTCAAAACAAAATGCGACACGCTACCTTGCAGATGTTTCAGAGAGGAGTGCCTCCTCTGCCTCGCGCGGTCAGTTGACCGAGACCCGCTCCTCACGCGGTCCGGCTGCTCGCTTTGGCGCTCGGTCCGAAATGCTTCGGGGGATAGCCGGCAGCGGAATGCTAATTAAGCGTTTTCCTTTTTTTGCCTCCGGTGTGCCTCATGTGTTCCCACATCTTGGGCTTTCTCATCCCTGTCTCCCTCCTTCGCTCCCTCTCGATCTCGACAGACCCACTGGCACATCTCTGCTCCAACGGTGAAGGACGAGCTATCTCCGTCGGCTTTTGATGCACGCGGCTCACGACGTAGAATGCAGGACGCCGCCACGCGATAGCCGAGACGTTCTAGCACAGCAACAACTTTGTTCTCTTTGTTCTCTTTCTCTCTCTCTCTCTCTGCCTCCCGGCCGCTCTTCCGCCCGAGCCCCTTTGAAAGCTCCCCCACTCGCCCCGCTGTGTTTTTGCGCCCTTCGGCTCCGCGCGGCGCTCGGCTGAGGTGCGGTGCGGTGGTGGGCCGGGAGGCGGTCTGCCCGCTGAGGCTCCCGGGCCATCCCTCCGAGGCCAGGCACCCCGAATTGCCCGTCGCGGAAGGAAGGGAAGACAGAAAGAAGAAAGAAGGTGAAAGGCTTTGAAAGGCTTCCTTTTTGTATGACTTTGACTTTCTCTTTGCTGCTAAGATGTTCGGAGTTTCTGCGGGCGGTGAAGGGAACGGGGTTGCCTGAAGCGCTGGATCGGATCCGGCCGAGTCCATGACCTATGCCAACCGCATGGTCGCCTTCCTCTTCGTGACGGACAGCTCCTTCGAAGAGATGTGCCAGTTGCCGGATCTGCCTCTCAGAATGGTCCCCGGGTGGCAACAGGGTGTGTTGTGGGGTTGAGCCCGGGGCACGCTTCAGGTGTTCAGGGGGCCGCTGTCGCCACGTGTGCTGATGATAGGTCTTCGCGCAATTGAGCTCGCGTCCAAGCTTTCCCATGAGTTGACTTGGAAGTCTTCGGCCCAGGTCTGCGGCAATCAGCTGTGTGTGCGCTTGGACCACATGAGTGAATCTGAAGTGAACCCAGTCTGATCTCAGCTCGAAGACCTTGTGAATGGTGGCACCAAAGACTTGTGTACAAGATTGTGCACAGGTCTTCGTCTGTCTTTCTGCGGCCGTAAGACTGTTTGTGTAGCGCAGGGGGGGGCAGCAGGACTGCTAAGACAGCAGCTCCCGGCTCCCGTCTGCATGCCCGAATGCCCAGCGGAAGATGCGCCAAGGGTTAAAGGGCAGGAGTCAGGAGGGCCAGGGATAGATTTCCAGTTCGGTGTGCCCTTTGCATACCAGCGTACCTCAAACGTCGTAGTGCAGCATGAACACCTGGTGGGCTGGCCAGCATCTCGTGGCTTCCCAAGGGATCCCCATACTTCTTGTATGAAGGACATCAAGGATAGTATGGTTATTTTGCGGTGTTGTTGAGGGTTCTCTGGTTTCTCGAAACTACCACCTACATCTGTGAGAAACCCTGGGCTGAGGTCTTCGGCATGGTCGGCGAAGAACGCTTGACATGAAAAATGGCGCTGGCACGTTTTCGGACTTCGGGCACTCTTGGTGGGGTCTGGCTTCGAGGACACACCTCTGGCGAGTGGTTCGAGGCTTTGTCTGCTACATTTGTCCTTCACCGCTGCTTCCACTCCACGATCCCCGAAAGAGTTGAGCGTGCGAAAAACAGGCACCCGAAACCTTCGCTTCATCGCCCTCGAGACAAAAGACTTAAAGAAGCTGCCCATGAAGTGCATGGCTACAGAGCGCGAGTGCGGTTTCGGGTCATAGGGATGAAGGGCTCTCGGGCTGAAGGTCTAAAGTCTGAGGGTCTTCCGGTTTGATTGAGTCAATGCAGGTTCTCCACGACTTTTTCCTGCAAGTGCCCAGCTTGAAGAGGTTTTTGCAATAGTTTTACGAAAGAGCTTCTTGCCTTTCGTTCTCGGCCTGTCGCGATGGCCACCTCGAACGAGGGACATCGTTGGCAGGCCTGGAGTTCTCTCGACGTTTGGGTGTTTGGGATGTTCAGGGGGACCGTTGCCCAGGGCTTGAAGAGACTGAGAGGGGAGGTTAGCTCGTAGCCAAGCCTGCTTAGGGGCTGTCACAATGATGCACCCCGCAATGCCTGGCTGCCACCCCAAACCCACGAGACCCCGAGTCCCTGCCCGAAGCTGCAAGACAGAGGCCGGGGCGTGGATTGTGGAGCCGACCGGCATGGAGGTCTTCGGCAACCCGAGGCCGCCCAGAATGTTTGGAGCGCCCGGCCCATGGCCCCAAGCCACCTGAGCCCAGCGAGCAGGACCCAGTTTTTGGAGGCGGAGGTCGTGCAGAAGCATTTAGACAAGCTCCCTTTCAAGGAGGTCTGTCTGCCAGCGTTTGGCAATTGCACGGGCCAGGGCATTTCTCGAAGAGCCTCGAGCTTTGCGGAGTTTGAAGTTTGGTTCTGCTGAATCGGTCGATGGTGGAAGGGGCGGGCCATTGCCGTTTTTCAGGAGAACCAGCCGCTGTCAGACCGCCTGGGCTCGGAGACGGATGCGGCTCGGCACCAGCCATTTTCGAGAGTTTGGAAATTTTGTGAACCTTGGAATGCAGCGCGTGGCCTGAAACATGCGTGCCCCGGATCGCGACCGCGAATGGATCGCGACCGCATCTCCCACGCAGGTGGGCGTCATCAGGCCGCGCGAGGTGGAGCAGATGCTTGGCTGCAAAACGGATCAAACGGATCAAGATTCAGAGCTCGGCTAATGGCATTGAAACGACAGGCTGGTGGAGCTTTCAGGCGCCGGAGAAGAGGCTTGGGCATGGGGGAGAGTGCAACAGTGTAACAGTGTAACGCGGCGCGGAAGTGATTCCGAAGCAGAGCTGTGGTGAAAGCCTGCCTTCTGTTTGCCGTTTGCGAGGTTTGGGAAACCCTCGTGAAGGACGAACAGATCCATGCCGATCGGCAGAAACCATGGGGCGGATCCTCCGGGTGGAGTTGCCAGACTTCGCTTGCAATCAGCTTCCTTCCAACAAACCTTCTTCTGCTCGTTCTCAGACTCTGAATAAGCCCATGGCCCTCCACAACAGTTTGTGGATCCAAGATACAGCGGCATCGAGATCGCAGCCTTTTCAACGGCAGTGTCTTTGTGCCTTGGGCCAAAGCCGGGTTCGGGCTCCGGTTCATCTGTGCTTGCCTAAGGAATTTGGTCAGGGCGGTTCCGCGGGTTCATTTTCACGACGTGTCTGAGAACGTGCAGGCAGCCCAGTCCCAGTCCCCAGACGTGGCCGGTCTTCAGGTAAAGCTCGTCGGGCGCATCTCCAATACCACCGCTGCCCACGAGAACCGGCTCAAGACTACCGAGGTTTGGGCATGCACAAGGCAAAGGCCGAGATGCTTTCCACAAATTGACTTCGCATGAGAAGTGGTGAGTCTTGAGTAAGATTTTGCAGCTCCACGTGCGTGCCGGAAAAAACCCAGCTTGAGAGGTTACTTTGCCCGCTACATAAACTTGCTGGGTTAGTGTTCTCCGAGTGCAGTGCCCAGGTAGCGCACTGCTTTGGCAACTTCGCTGACCGAGCTGGCTGGGACAAGCAAATGGACAGCTTTCGATTGATGCCGCTCGTCTTATGGCATTGTCATGGGTGCATTCCAGGCTTAAGCTGGGCATCGGTTCGCTGCTCAGCGAGGGCAGATGGTCTGTGGGAAGAAAAGTCAGTGAGAAGGGACTTGCCGGTGGAATGGCTACCGCTGATTTTTTTAAGAGGAATCCCGGTGCCCCCAAGCCAAAACGCCGCCGGCCGACCTACGGGGATTCAAAACACATGTCAACATGAGATATTGCATATTGAAACATGTCCCCTTATGCGGATATTTCAGCTTGAAAGTTTCTACCAAGACGTAGTAATCTGTAACGTTGCGAAGGGCAGAGCGTAAAACCCGAATCCGAATAGCATTTCTCTCGAAAGCTCAGGTACAATGTGGCCTCCAACGACATCCTCTACTCCCTCCTGCATGCACTGGGCCCAGGGGCACTTTGTGTTGGGTGATGCTATGTGTTCATCAGTACAGCAAGCATGAACAAGACACCCGATTATGACCCAATTATGCCACAGAGGCTGCTGAAGTCCGAGATAGATCCGCAGCAAACACGTGAACTGAGAGCCTCCCTCGTCAGGCGCCACCGCTGACAGATCGCGAGCCTGGGTTGCCTCAGTTTTAGCCGTGGAGAGGTTCATCGGCCTTTGAACACATTTCTTGTCTTGCCCCTCGTTCGCTTGTCTGATGACACCCCGCATGGCTGCATTCCGCCCAGGACTTCTTGATCTACCATGCCACTATGCGTCATGAGACCCGGCGCAGAAGGGGAACCATGCAAGTTAGTTGGCGGGGACGCTCTTTTCCCATGTCCCAGATTTTTTCGGAATGTTTAGCTTTGTTCTTCAAGCACAGATCTCTGGTCTGATCTTGGCGTAAGGAAAGTGGTCGCGGCATCATGTCTCCCGGCATACCTGGTAAAGCCGATTTTCGCTTTGCGTGTTTGTAGCTTTTGGATTCGAAGCAGCAGCCTCGACCCTGGAATGATATATAAAGTTGATCTCCGACTCCGAACGCGCGACGCTTGAGACGCTTTGGGAAATCCGGGGTGCTGATGAAGCCAGAAGCCTCGGCATGAAGCCAGGGCTATGCCTGACAGTCCGAAGCGACACTCCAAACCTGGATAAACCTGCATGGTACACCGTGCGGACGTTTCAGCGAGGCTTTACACCCGCTCTGCCAGCAACAGCCTTTGTCCGCCGACGCGGGCAGTGAGAGCAACACAGTATCGCGGCGTGGGTGGGTCTTAGGGATTGTGGGCAGGGGCCCAGGGCCACATGCAGTTTAAGTTTCGGGTTTTGCAATACTATCAGCGTCTTTGCAATGAAGAATGCCCCATCGTCTTCCGACGGACAGGAGATCGTTTGGTGCTGACAGCCCGATTTGCTGCAGTTTGCCCCTGGCACTCCTTCACATCATAAGCATCATCAGTGGCGCAGAATTCTGCATTTGGTGCCGGGCATTTGCTAATGAGGCATGTGTTCCCAAGGTACGTGGCTTCCTATTGCATCATGCAGGACCTGGGGACCTGGCTCTTGTTCGCACACGTGGATGCCTTGTTCACGTAGTGCCTCAGAATCTAAACGGCGCTCTGAAGCCTTAAGACACCAAACTTTGACTAAGCCGAGAGCTGGAAAAGATGCGAGAAGGACCCGGACGGAAAGGGCGTGACCTTCACCACCACTTCGGCCCGGACCTGAATTTCCTTCTTTAGATCCGGCCCATCAGATGCTGAACCGCTCAGGCCGTCGATCCCCACATTCCCTTCCTGCCGAAGTGGGTTCTGTGGCCCGGAGACAAGTCAGAAAATCTAGCAAAGTCGCGAAGAAGCAGTACACCCAGGCCCAGGCTGCTTTTTTGAACGGGTTCGATGCTGTGTTTCTTTTGGGTGGCTGTCCAAGGACTCTGTTGATGCCCTCTGAGTTCCGTCGCTGGCGGAATGCTGTCGACAAGCGCTGCCGTGAGTTGCACAGGGAGCTCCCGTTCTTCAGGGGTCGGGTGGTAAGTGTCGGATTCCGAACGCCCAAATTGCCACGCCGAGCCGTACGGGTTTTCTTCCATGCTGCAGAACGCACCAAGGCATGCCCTCCTACGTGACAGAAACAGTTATCAGCTCCGCGACCCTCGAACCTAAAACTCCAAAACCAGTCCTTGAGACCTAGACCTGAAATCTTACAGGGGATGCAAGCCTTCAAGACCAAAAGCACTTCCGTTATCCCTCAAGGATGCCGTGCCCATCCCCGTGGCGGCGCTGCTGCAGCCGGAAGACGAGCTCCGGGCGCCGGCCTTTGACAAGGCGCGCTTTCGCCCGGTTGCACCTTCCCCTTTTTGTGAGACCTGGCAATCCTGGGAATGTGTGTATGAATATATGTATATATGTATGCATGTGTGAGGATATTTCTTCAATGATTCCGGTCGTGTTGCGTAATGAGCGGGAAGAAGCCTCGAAGGCCAGAGCGACCGAGGCTACGACAGAGGAGGCCACGCCGACAGGCAAGAGCTCCACCGAGGCTGAAGACCTGCCGGGAGAGATCTTCATTCTCGAATTGATAAGCCGTGCGTCTCACACCTTGCCTTCAAGGTAGATTCAGCTGCTGTTTGGGCTTTGTTCCCGGGTTCCCGGCAGGCCGGAAGCACACAGGAAGGCCACAGCCGCAGCGATGTCAGCGACGTAAAGGCAGTGCTTCTTGTGGGGACCCCTTTCTTGTCTTCTGTGAAGGCTTTAGCTTGTCCGGTCCCCTACTAGTAGAGTTGTGAGAGTGCTCAAGTCGTGCCAGACTGCCAGCGGCGACGGTGCTGAAAGCTCTCCAGGCAGCCCAAAAGCCTCGGGCTTGAGCGGCTTGAGGTTTTCAGATCTGCGAGGTCCCTGGAGGTTTTTGGGCTCAGCTGCCCGGGAGACGGCTGTGATTCCAAGCGAAGAGCAGCGCCTAGAATCCTAGCGTGCTCGTCGAGTGTCGGCTGAAGAGGCACCCGACCTGACTCTTCACCTCGAATCGAGGCCCGGTGCTAAGTGCTTGCGAGGTTGCTGTCAATATGACCAGCCCAAGAAGGGAAAGGCGGCCAAGGCGGCTAAGCTTTCAGCCCAAGAAAGCAGCAAAGTTCGAGACACAGACGCGCAGAGAGAGAAGCCACGCCTAGCAGCCCAGCAGGACACCGTGGCCGCTGCTCCCGCGACGTCGCCAGGTCTTGAGGGGCCTTCGCTTGCAGCAACAGGGGCCAGTTAGGTGAGGACCTCTAGGTTCGCCCTTTGCCCACGCAATCGCCCCCGATCGCGATTCCTGGATCAGGTTCCCGTGCATCCAACTCTTTCAGTTTCTCAGCTCCGCCTGCAGGCCTTTGCTGGTGTTGCTGAGTGTGCCACAGCCACAGGACGGAGAACTTCGGGCTGTTGGAAAGCAGGCTTCGACCTCTGGTTTGTCGGTTCCGAACGAAGAGTTGCTTGGGGCATGCCTCCGAAACGGCAGGAACGAAAGGGTCATCAATCGGCTTCCCTGCAACTCCGCATGCTCACAAGCAAGGACTATGCAAAACTTGAAGCCCTGCTTCAGGCCAAGTGTTTGTTGAGAGCCACATATTATGAAACTTGAAACTCAGATTCGGGCCAATTGTTGTTGAGAGCCTAAAACATCCTAAACTTGAAGCCCTGTTTCGGGCCAAGAGTTTGTTGAGAGCCACATATGAAACTTGAAACTCAGAGTGGGGACAACGGTTGTTGATAGCCAAAAACATCCTATACTTGAAGCCCTGATTCGGGCCAAGAGTTTGTTGAGAGCCACATATGAAACTTGAAACTCAGATTGGGGACACTGGTTGTTCATAGCCAAAACGTCCTAAACTTGAAGCCCTGATTCGGGCCAAGGGTTTGTTGAGAGCAACATAACTTGAAACTCAGATTGGGGACACTGGTTGTTCATAGCCAAAAACATCCTAAACTTGAAGCCCTCTTTCGGGCCAGGGGTTTGTTGAGAGCCACATATGAAACTTGAAACTCAGATTGGGGCCAAGGGTTTGTTGAGAGCCACATATGAAACTTGAAACTCGGATTGGGGCCAGTGGCTGTTGATAGCCAAGACATCCTAAACTTGAAGCCCTCTTTCGGGCCAAGAGTTTGTTGAGAGCCACATACGAAACTTGAAACTCAGATTGGGGCCAAGGGTTTGTTGGGAGCCACACATGAAACTTGAAACTCGGATTTGGGGCCAGTGGCTGTTGATAGCCAAAACATCCTAAACTTGAAGCCCTCTTTCGGGCCAAGAGTTTGTTGAGAGCCACATACGAAACTTGAAACTCAGATTGGGGCCAAGGGTTTGTTGGGAGCCACACATGAAACTTGAAACTCGGATTTGGGGCCAGTGGCTGTTGATAGCCAAAACATCCTAAACTTGAAGCCCTCTTTCGGGCCAAGAGTTTGTTGAGAGCCACATACGAAACTTGAAACTCAGATTGGGGCCAAGGGTTTGTTGGGAGCCACATATGAAACTTGAAACTCGGATTGGGGCCAGTGGTTGTTGAGAGCCGAAACATCCTAAACCTGAAGCCCTGTTTCGGGCCAAGGGTTTGTTGAGAGCCACACATGAAACTTGAAACTCAGAGTGGGGACAACGGTTGTTGATAGCCAAAAACATCCTATACTTGAAGCCCTGATTCGGGCCAAGGGCTCAAGGGAGTATCCCAAGCGAGGACGCTGCCGTCGCTGAACTGACCTCGCATGCAGCTCCTTTTGGGAGGGTTCTTGCTTCGTGGGGAGTCGCGTGAGGACGCGAGCCCATGCTTGCATCCCTCCTGGTTTGCTACAGAAGTCGGTTTCTGAAAATTGGAGGTCTTTCTTGGTGGTCCGTGCACAAACTCCGTCAAGCTACTATTCAGGTGTCGTTTTGGAGTCACCTATGTACTGTATTTTCAGAAACTTCCAAATTAGTTTTTGCGTCGATTCCCGTTGTCCTAGCATGGCCCGAGGCTAATGCTTCAGGACTACTGAAATTTCCCGGCCCACGGACGGGACAGATCTCGACCGGGTTGGGCTTGTCACTAAGTCGCACGGGGTGAGACACGTACCGGGGCGGAGCAGTTCACATTGAGCTTTAAAGGGTCAGTGCAGTCTTTTGTGATTCCCACGCAGTACAGCCCTGGATGGTTGGAATCTGTCATGGACGCTGGGCAGCGGGCGAGTTGCCGTGAGGCTGTTCGGTGAAAGCCTGGCGCACAATCGAGTCCACCAGCGCGCAGCGAGACCATAAGTGCAGCACAAATCGAGAAGTGTACCAAAACAGTGCAGTTGCATGTGTTCCCGTCTGTGGCGCAAAGGGAAGTTTCCTAAAATCAGCACTGCAATACAGTACCATTTAGAGGATTCTAGTATTTGGGCTCACCCTCTGTTGTGAACGTCCTGTCGGTGCTTGCATGAAAGCTCAGCTCGCGCTTGCAGCTGCCAGAAGTGGCTTGAGATTTGAGTCCCATGCATGGAAAGAAGCCATGTGGAAGCCCAAGCCCAAGAAGACATCCCTAAAGCCCAAGAAAGTAAACGGAGGAGCGTCCCAAGGCAACCGCCCTCTCGAAGCGAGGCTGGACCCTCGCGGGAAGGACGGCCCTTAAATGAAGGATGCTAGCTAGGAGCCCACTTTAAATTAACTTAAACTTAAACCATTCCAAACCAGTGGCTTATACCGAGGGGCTACTGTTGTCCTCTCTTTCATCATGCTTCGCCTGCTTGCAGCGCTGTTGCCGGCTGCGGCTGCCTTCAAAGCGTTGGCTTTGCAGGCGGAGCGAAGCAGGGACGGAGGGAACTGAGGGAGGTTGGTGCACGGTGTGAGGCTGGGTTTCTCTGGTGTCTGATGCCCTCTCTATCTTGTCGCAGGGAGCGTGCGAGTCGACGCCTTGAAAGGAGGCTTGATGACGGGAGTCACTGCGGCATCGGCGAAAGGGTCTCTTGTGAAAAAAGTTCATCGTTCGACATCGGCCAAGAAGACCCTCACATTTTTCTCGGAGGGCGGCGGCGCCCGCGCTGTGGCTGTGGAAGCAGGGCTCTTTGTGGGCCTCGCAGATGGCGAGGCAGATCAGGCAGGGAAATGAGCCCATCGAAGTTCAGAAGTGTTCCTGATCCAGTTCAGCTATTGCTAGATGGCTAGATGGCTCTTCACCCAAAGCTCGAGCCTCGACAGGCCGTGGAGAGCTGCCTGGCATCCTTCCAGCTGCTCTCGAGCGTCAGCGGCTCTTCCTGGTGCCTCCACCTGAAAAGGAAGGGGAAACATGTGTCACTCCGAATGGCCGAGGGAAAGATCAGGAATTTTCTGCAGATCGATCTTTTCCCTTTGGAGCCATCGGTAGCATTGCATCTGCAGAGGCGCCACAGATCGGCTTTGGAAAACTGTAACCTCGTTTCTTCCCAGGTTTAGCTCAGAGCTGCTCTTCTCCGAGTCCTTCCTGCAGCTGCTGCGCGGTTTCCTGGTTTATTGGTGTGGTCTTAGAGTTCGCTCCTTCGAGTGATTGAAGGCGTCTAAAGCAGACAGATAGATAGAAGCATAGGTTTTTAGATTGGTAGACAGGTACATAGATTACAGAAGGTTAGGTTCTATCTGATCAGGTTAGAGCAGGATACATTAGGTTAGAGTAGATAGATAGGTAGATAGGTCGGTAGATCGGTGCTGCACCTTGTATATACATGCTTTTCCCAAGATCAGAGGGTTACATAACATAAATAAATAAATACATATGTATATATATATATATGCACATGTATTTAGAAGATACACTCTACGAGAAGATTGTCTATCCGAGGCATGGCGGCCGACCCGTCCTCGGCAGCTTCGAAGTTCCAGGAGGGCCCCGGGGATGATTCTACAAAAGGAGGTGGGTGACTAGGAGAGGCAGTTTGCGATCTAACATATTGGGGCATTTAGTTCTCGCTGAAGACTCCCGCGAACCCTCGCCGCGTTGAATGTTTCGCAGGCGCAAGTGACGGACCGATTCGCATCAATGTAGATCACCGCGGAGAGAATGCAAGGCACGTGCATGCGTAAGCAGGGGCCCTTATTAAGACATCCCGACGGAAATGCTGCAGTCTGAGCTGCGAGAGTCTACAGCTTCGCCGGCACGGTTAAACAAATCCAGCGATGAACTTACACAGAAGAGCAGGTGGTCGTGGGGACAATTGCAAAAAGCCACATGTAGTGTGGTCATGTGTGGTCACTAGAAGACAGTATAATTAGGATCTGATGGTGGGGAGGATCATAGCGATGTCTATGACCATCGTACGCCATGATGCATCTACTGACGGGGATGGAGAGTTTTGATGGTGATGATGACGAGGACGACGTGATGATGATGATGTTGATGATGATGTTGATGACGAGGGCGACGTGATGATGATGATGATGGTGGTGATGATGATGATGATTGTGCTCGCGGTCATGGTCATCGTTGTTGCGAGGATGGCAATGGTTGAGACATCCCCTAACAGTAGCTTTGAAGCAGTCGAGACAACGCGGAACAGGAACACTGACACAATACCACACCACCCAAATCAAAGCGGCCGTGAAGGAGTCTTGGATTCGGCCGTGGCTCACAGCTACAGCAGTGGATGAAAAGAGGTGCCCGGTGACCTGAGACCCGCGAGTCCTGCCAGATGAAGTCTTGCACTTAGGATTTGCGTACGGTTTGGGGTTTGGAAGCTTTGGTGTACTGTGAGGTTTGTAGATGATTGGTTCTGAGTCGCAAGAGCCGGCCCCCACCCCAAGCAGGTTTGACGGTTTCCAGACGCTGGTGAGACTGCTGGTCAAGCTGATGTTTGGCACGGGCGATGAAGACACGAGTCTAGTCCCGCAACGTTCCCTTGTGACGTGGATCAGTGGCCTTTCGAGTCTGCCATCCAGGTCAACCCAAGCCCCTTGACGGGTTTTGTTGTGTATTCTTTTCCTGGCTGATGTGGGCGTTTGTTTGATTTAGGATATTTCTCGCACAGTTCTTCCTGGCGACTGGCCTAACTTGGAACCACTTCGTGGACGTGCTTTTGATACTGAGCTGCAAGAGTTTCGTGTGTTCAAAGGGGGAAGATGGGCGGGGTAGCTCGAGCGCCTGTCTCGTTTCTCCACGGATCGTTCATTTCATTTTCGGAACAGTAGCGGGAAGTGGCTCATTGCAGCAGCTTCGAAGCTCAAGGTGGCCCGTGATATTGCCGGAGTAAGATCGATCCCCTTGTATTTTCCACCCTTTCTCGCTAACCCGAGGCTCCCTTGCCCAGATGCTGAGTTATACGCACAATCCTGTACTATACACAAGGAGTTTTTTGAGTTTGAAAACTCGGAAAGCTTTGAAAGCTGAAACAAGCCAAAAGATCCCACAATCCGTCAAGAACCTCTTGCTCAGCACAGAAAGCGGAAACCGCATGACAAAATGCTGTGCTCATTCTTGTTGCCCAGTTTTGGTAGCCTTCCAACCTGTTTCACTCTTGGGAATGTCTCGGTCACGGCAGTCGCGCGAAATTGCACCAGGAACTCGACAGCAGGGATCTCGCAGGAACTTCCGTGCCTCGGCATGCACGGATATTTCCTTAGAGTCCCAGTCGCATAGTGGGATGCTCGCAAGGTGTGGAGTAGTTCTCATGATGGCTGCAACGACCATGTGAGGTTTCGGGCACAGGGTTCAGGGAGGCAGATACCCTTTTGGACGTTGCGATTCATCAACAGCTCGTTCCTCTCACAGAGGCTTGGCTCACCTTTGGCCTGCAAAGGGGCCGCCGGGAAGGCGCGAAAAGGGGAGTTGGGAGTTGGGGGCTCTTGAAGTTCGGGCGGAGACCCAAAGCGGAGGCCCAAAGTCAAAGCCCGAAGCATCAACCGCTCACATACCTTGCATGCTCGCTCCGTCTGAGAGCAGCCCTTGAGGCCAGCGTCCGACACGTAGGACGTAGGGAAGAGCCAAGAAGAAATGCTTTCGCTCAGATTTGGCTGGTGGATCACTCGCTGCTGCTGCTGGGCTAGCTTTGGCTTTTGGATTCTAGGACTTGAGGCCACCCCGTTCTGCTTCCCCAGCCCAGGCTGCCAGCATCTGGACAGCGTGGGTCCGTAGCACAAGGCCAGGCTTTGCGGCGATGTGACTCTGACAGGCTTCTGGTCTTCTGGGTTCTGGGTTCAGATTTCACTTCTTGGAGCAGATGGGGTTGGGCTTTTTGGACATGCTGCCCATGAGATGCTCATGTCCCCGAACATCCTGGTTTCTCTCCCTCGCGACTGAGCGGTCGAAGTTCCGGTCAGCAGTGGAAGGCACCACCGTCCGAAGCGACAGTCGGCTGAGCGCCCTTTGCTGTGCATGCTTCCATCCTGAGGAAGGCTTTTTTCGCGCGTGAGCTACGATGCCACCTGACTGACTGACTTCTTCTGGATTCGGGGTGTTGATTTCGGTTTTTTTGTGAAGAGAACTGAAGACGTGATTTTAACAGGCCCTGGTGGTCACCTCGAAGTTCTGGTTTTGCTGTGGCATATGCACGATCTTTTACTTCATGCAAGTCTTTCTTCCCTGGCACCTTTTCGACATTGAAGTGTCGCAGAATCTGTTTTCTGCAGCAGAAAATTGCAAAGGTCCAGGCTCCAATCTCCATGCTGCCCGCCTGGTTCTCTGTGACGCTGGGTGCAGGCAGCTGGGCCATGTTAGTTGCTGCATACTGTGTCGAAGTCCATGAAGCGAATAGGTGTTGTGTGCTGACATCCGAGAAATCTGCGGTCTTGTGAAACCAAGAAGATTCCATCCTGCCACCTCCGCCCTGCTAGGTGTCCAGAGCAGCGCGCCGCTGCCCTACATGGCGCTTCCAGATGCCTGGGCCCCAACTCCCGAGCTTCCGCGGCGATCCTCCTCTCCCCAACCCGAGCCTGGTGCCCTCCGCAAGATCCGGGGGGGTGCCTTTGCTGAGAGTTTCTTCTTGTGCCAGGCTGTGCTCCAGCTTCTCGGCTTGCAGAAGAGCTCGTGTGTACAAGCTGTCTGGTCAGGCAGCCTGGGGCCTGGCATACGCTCACTTCCCGGCTTGCACCACAAGCGCACTTTCTGAGGTTCCAGTACCAGTTGTCTGGCCTGCTTGACCACACCGCCATTTCAGCTCCGCCGGTTCGACTGGACCGCGGGTGGGCCAGGAGGTGAGAGGAGGTATTCCTGGAGTGCGCTTGCTGTGTTGGCCTTTTGCTTGTGTGAAGTGGGTCAGCCGGGGCAAACAGGTAGGTAGTCCTAAGCACCGTGTCTCCACCATTCTCCACCTTACATGCCCTTCAGAACTCGGAAGTGCGCGTCATGGCACAGCGGGGCTAGGGTGCCTTGCTTCTCTTAGCTGAAGAAAGAGCGAGCGGGAGAGCGTGAGAGCGACTGTTGTCTTGGTCGGCTGTCAAGTTTCAGGGCATAACTTCCTATGTACGGTAGGTAGTTCAGAACCCCAGCAAGCTTGTAGCCTACTTGCGAAGTCCACCGTTCTTTTAAGTGTTATACTGAGAAGCACGATCAATCTCCATGGAACCGCAAGGAGTGCAGGAACAAGAGAGCGCTGTACAGACAAAGGGGGGACAAGGTACTGCAGCTATACATGGCAGACACGTCGGAGCTTGGCACTGCAAGATTGTAGTACGCCATGTCCAAGTCGTATACTTGTCCTTGGCGGAGGACGAGGAAAGAGAAGGGAGTGCCTGGCCGGGGCGGGATCACAGAGGGTTTGGAGCGACAGGGAAGACACAGAGAGGAACTAGAGCTCCTCCCGAAACGATTACTGTCAGGCAACCGTGATTTCCTTTCCGCATGTCGGAGGACGCCACCAACGGCAGCCTGCTGAAGAACAGTGGCCGCCTGCCGATTGCCAGGCATGTGATGGCATGTGTTGTGGCAGACAAAGTCTTGAAGACGATGAGATTCAGTACGGCCGTGGGTCGCCAGCGCGGAAGCTTTTCTTTGCTGTTGTAGGGCAAGCTTGCACGGGTTCTTCTTCCCTGTTGCATGAAAAAATCATGTTAATGTCCGCAAGCATGTCGATCTGGCCCTGCGTTTGCTCTTGGCATGCATGACATTATGGCTGCGACACGCATACGTTGGCATATGTGGTTTGCAGGGCTGCCGCTGCCTCATCTGCTGTCTTCGGTTCTGAGTTGATCGACGGAGTGGTGGCCGCCGAGGCGACAGAGGGATTCAACTTGTGGGTGCTTGCGCTGGGGTTGCTGGAGTTAGATGGCAGAAGCCGGAGTCGCTGAAAGATGCCGGCTGTTCCCTGTGCAGATGTCCAGCCTGCTCAAGGCGGAGGTGGGCTGTGAAGTCCAAGAGCTTTCGGTGATTGCTGTCGGTCTTGTGTGATGATGATGGAAGATTCGGTCAGCTACTGTAGCCTGAGCTAGCGGACAAAAGAGCAGGCTCGTACTCCCTACCTTTGAGGTGGGCGTGTGGATCGGGCTCGGCGACCAGGCGGCTTGAGCTTTGCTTGTGGCCGATGTTGAACTGAAGCCATCCTATCTTCATGTACTTCAAATTCCCGAGCCACCAGGGGCCGGACTTCTTCAGTGACGCTGAGCAACTTCTCGCTGCTGGGCTTTTTGGGGAACCGGTCTTTTGGGCCGTTCCTGACCATCGGGGTAGGCGGCTATAGGCTTCGCATTCGATCATCTCTCGACATCCCATTCAGCCCAGGCGAGTCTGCGCGCCAACGTCAGTCCCACCACTCTGAGCACTTTTGCGCAAAGCGCAGTGCACGCTCTGCTGGACACTTGGGCAGCAAAGCAAGCCTTGCTGGATCAGTCCCGAGCCCGAGAGCGGCACGCAGCACGGAAGGATGGTGGCTACTCCGACGGAACTGGGATCGCACAGGCGGTGGCTGCCGGTGCCAGCGAAGTCGTGACCGCATCTTGACTTGTGAATCGGTTGGACTGTGTCACGTCCTGGTGCTCGTCGGCTACGTGTTTTGAGCTTTGCCTGCGGGCTCGTGAAGAATGGTCTCAGAGTGTTCCCCAGTTTTCAAGCTGAGGTGCTGAACAGCTTCTCGACAAACGACCCCGCCTACGTAGCACAGCTTTTCCCCAATGCCACTACGCCGCTGAAGCCTGGCGTGCTTCAGCGAAATTCATCCTACATTGCTTTTTCAGGGTATGGCGGCTGACGATAGCTATAAGGCCAAGGGCTGTTCAAGCAGAAGTTGCTGAGATATGCCCTGCTTGAACCCCCCCTGCCGGACGGCTCAATCGACAACTCGCCAGGTGCCGCGACAGCTTTTCCCCGTTTTCGTCCCTTGGCGCAAGCAATTTTAGTGCGGGCGGTTTGTTGTTTGTGGTGAGGGGAAACTAGGGCTAAGGGGTTACACTCTCGGGTGGGTCGAAGGAAGTGACCAGACCCAGACCGCTTTCAGGCCCGAAGCCTTGAAAGCCTACAGCGACCACGCAGCAAGTAAGCTCTTTGCCCAGGAATTCCCCGCTGCCGCTGCGGTGGAAGCAGCTTTTGGGGCTTTCCAGACATTGCAGCTGGCACCAGGACACCGATCGAGCCTCTCAAATCAATGGGTGTGTACTGTTTGGATGTGATACTGGCGGTGCGACCTGCGCTGGATGGCTGGCTGATGACTGGCTGACTGACATACTGACACAGATGGATGGATAGATAGATGGGTAGATATAGAAGCCTGTCTTCACGAGAGGCTTCGCACGGGACGCGCTAGAAAAACAAATCCGCCACTTGCTCTGCCGCCACTTGTTGATCCCCTCGAACGGCCAGGAAGCACCTATTTGAAAGTGTTTGCCTTCGGCTCCTTCCAGGCTGGCTTTATGTGGGTTCGACGAAAGAAGGTATCTCAAAGGCCCTAGCTTCTAGGGTTTGGCTAGGGTTTGGGGCCCAGGGTTAACTGATCATATGCGTAGTCCAGGTGTAAAAGGGTTAACTGATCTGAAAGTTTCTACTGTTGAGTCCGAGGCTGTCACCGCCGAGAACCCTTACTTTGGCACCCGCCGTGGCCGCACGGTGACCATCCATGTGCTGAACATTGGAGCTGAGTTGTGCCCTGGGATGAAGTTTTTCTGTAGCTTTTCTGTCCAACTCCTTGCTCGCAGAATCTGCCAGCACCTAAGCGTCTAGAGTCTAGAGAGGAGGCGCCAGGCACTCTGGGAGTTGGCACCTTCTTTACGCAGGCCCCAAGACTCAAGAACAGTCAAGGAGCATTGGCTTCTTCGAGAACTTCGCTCATTATGCCAGCCTTTTACAGGAGTGCACATCCGTCGTCTTGTCCGTTTCCTGAGACCCTTGTAAGTCTGCAGGAGATCGCGCTGACCCTGCGCGCCCCGGCCAACAAGGAGCTGGTCCCTTGAGCCGCATGTGGAGACCGGCTCATCATGCCGGCATGGCCCTGCAACCACGCTTGAAGCTAAGGTTGAGGAGAACTTGCGGCCTCTCTTCTACGGCACGGCGGGCGCTCGCCATGCCGTGGATATCATGGTTTGATGATGGTCGTCTGTGAGGAGCAGCGAAGCTGTCGAGAACCAGGGCATTCGAATATTGGTGCCGGCTACGGTAGATCGACAAGTTCAAGAAGCTAAAGCCGTTCGTGAGCCGTTGCATAGAAAAGATGTGAAGCAGACCTTTTACTTTGGTCCGCGAGGACCAGCCGGCCGACGGCTATCAAGTGAGATCCTTGCGATCAATCATCGCATGCAGCCACGATGTGGTGTTTCGACTTTACAGTAGTTTAAATCGCTTGCCAAGGTGGTGAATGGGTCATGGATCATGATACAGAGTCAGCATAAACCAAACTTGGCTTTGAGAATGCCGGCTGTCCGCTGGCCGTCTCTTGACGCGTCCCTTTGGATGGACGCATGCGCGTCAAACGTCAGGGCCTGACATGGGAAGCAGAGCACAGGGCTGCAGGCTGAGCAGCTGAGCAGCGCAGTGCGAAAGGTTTCTGGAGCTCTGCAGAGCTTCTCGGACCGCTGCTCTGTTCCACTTTTCAAGTCTCATGCGCCACTCCTCGTCGGCCTGCGCTGAAGCCGCAGTTATCCTTGTGGCACAAGTCCACAGCAGAAACCTTGAGCAGAACCGGATGCTCCGGTTGCATCGACCAAGAAGGAAAACAGGCAGGATGTAGCCTACCAGCCTGCGACGATAGAGATGACTGGTAATCAGGCTCGTAGACTTTAAGCGCGCGGTGTTGCTACCATCATGCCCAATGTGATTGTTGCTGCCACACCGCTGTAGCTGGCAAATTTTGCTTCATGCCAATCCTGCAGGGGTAATAAGTAGGAGGACGGAGAGCGACGAGGAGGGAGGGAGAGAGCGAGCGAGACAGCCAGAACACAGCCCGACAGATGGAGAGCATCGCTTTCGTGGGCGAGTCGACCCTGCGCTTCCAAGAAAAGGCCTTGCCCTCAGCCTGCAGGGGAAGCTTGGACGCCTCCAGATCTGCAATGTCGGGCCAGTGAGACACCTTGTGAGACTCACCCTGTAAAGTCTTGCCTGCAGCCACGTCAGCTCTGCTTTGTTCTTCGTCGGAATTCCTGCCTCATCGCCGTGCCGCCAGCATCAGGCCGAGTGTGTCCATTGCGTGCACACACCTGGCCACGGATACGTCAATAGCACAGCAAGCGAACCATGCCGAGGCCTCCTGCTTAAGACAAGCATGCCGCATCGGAAACCGGAGCTTTAACTTGTTGTCACTGCCTAGAAGTTCTTCGGCTCTATCAAGCGTTCGGCATGGCCAACATGCTCCAGGCTTGCATGTGTCCAAGTTGACAACATGGACTTTCCCTTCACAGTATTTGACGACTACTTACTTCAGATCGTGTGCAAGGTCCAGCTAGCCTGACGGTTTGAACCCTGAACCTAGCCATGCGGCAAGCAACAAAGCCCTCTGGAACCTTGCGCCCTTTAAAGCCGACTCCCGCTTCTTGGGCCGTGAGCTTCTGAGCATGACTGGACACGGCTGGAGCATGGCTGCGGGCTCCCTGCGCCGTCCTGCGCCAGGGCGGCTGCTGCGAGGAGGGAACCGGATGTCAGACTTTTAGGCCTTGAGAAGCCCCGAGCCCTAAACCTGAGCCTGCCTCACAGAGGCTCTCCGGGCAGAGGAAACAGGTTTTCAAAAAAAGCCCAGAAGCCTTGGTGCAGGGGATTTCTGTCTACCAGCAGCAGATGGAAGAAGATCCCGGACAAAACGGAAGCCCGACACGCCGGAGGCAAAAACAAGCATAAACTCGAAACCCTGACCAGCTGTTGGGGCGACCACTCCGTAACCCCATGCATGAAACACTAAGTCTAAAAGCAACGGGCGGCAAAAAAACGTTTGTAGCCAGGAGGTTACACTAGTGTGCTGCTAATAAGGCGTCCTAAGGAATAGTACACCTGATCATCCAGGCCCTATAGAAACCCAAAGGCTAGCTATCGCTGTGTAGCAACCCATCTTAGGCCCTCATCTTAGCCGATAAACCAGCTTGTACAAGACTACGTACGAACTCTCACCGCTGTTCTCATGGGCTCGTTTCATAGAGCCTTTCGTGTTCGAACACAATACTACCTCCCATAGTAACCCAGATGATTTTTCGCGGGAATTTGTTGGAGGCGGCAGCTTTGGCGCTGGCGCGCGGCTCTGGCGAAGGCCGGCGGCTGTGAGAGTTGTTTGGGTTTGAGTGTAAGTTTTTTTTGCAGTGCTGAGTGGGGTTGGGGTTGGTCTCGGATGTTGGTAGTGGGTGCGCCTGTTCTTGCAAACTTGTTATTTCTGAAAGGTTGTTTGATTTTTCCATGTGGGAAAGGCAAGGCATCAGTTGGTGGCTGAAGACGCGCAGCATCGAGTGCCTGGTCATCGTGATGCAGGCGGCCTTTTCTGACAGCTTAGCTGGTGCAGAGGCTGGAGAGAGGCACACCTGTGTGACCAGTGCACAGGGGCAGTTGTTTTGCTTTGGAAACAACAGACATGGTCAGTGCAGCGTGCCCTTAGACTTGGGGCCCGTTCTTAGTGTCTCTACGGGGAAGTCCCACACCTGCGCGGTACAGGTCAGTGGGCAGTTGGTGTGTTTCGGGGAAAATGAATATGGCCAGTGCGATGTCCCAGAAAGCCTCGGGGCAGTCCTGGACGTGGCGGTAGGCAACTACCACACGTGTGCGATCAAAACGGATGGGCAGCTGGCGTGCTTTGGCTCCGGCGATGACGGACCAGTTCTGCTGCCCTCACATCTGGGGGCTGTTACTATGGTGTCGGCAGGCACCGCGCACACGTGCACAGTGACGGCTGATGGCGAGCTGGTGTGTTTCGGAGATAACCGGTACGGCCAGTGCAACGTCCCAGAAGCACTCGGCCTTGTGGTGGAGACCTCGGTCGGCTCGGCACACAGTTGTGCACTGCAGGCGGAAGGCGAGTTGGCTTGCTTTGGAGATAACACGCATGGTCAGTGTGATGTGCCAGAAGACCTGGGACCTGTCAAGGTCTTCTGTGCCGGTGCAGCACACACCTGCGCGGTGAGTGCCCGCACTGGACAGCTTGAATGCTTCGGAGACAACAGTGACGGCCAGTGCAATGTGCCAAGAGACCTCGGGACGGTCGTGGCCGTGAGCGCTGGTGCTGGGCACACTTGCGCGGTTTGCGCCGGCGGGGAGGTGATCTGCTTTGGCTCAAACGATTGCGGTCAGCGTGATGTATGGAGGGCAGAGGTGTTCCTTGGCACTGGTCGCCCTGAAGAATAAAACGGGTGCTTCTGCACTGGGTGTTGAAAGCGGCATCTTGTCACTGATGTTTGACGAATGCTACTGCTTGCCCCAGAGCTGTCTACTCGTACCTCGTACAGCTTTCAGCGTGGTACTCGCGATGGCAGGCGCTGGCATGCCGGCGGGTCTCAGGCCGGTTCTGCTTGGCTGACGTTCGATGTTAGTGTCAGGAACAAGAGCACAGCAAACAACAGTTCAGCTGAAGCCTTCGAGCCGATGCAGTTGAACTATTTATGTTGAACACTTGTGGATCCGAATGTCAAAGTCTCCAGAGACGGCTTGTTTGAATGGATCCTCAACGTTCCTGATGTTTTTTGCATACACAAAGACCTTAATGCATATAGACTTGCAACAGTTTTTTCGTGTCTCCTAAGACTGCAGGATCGTGGAGTGAGAACGTGCGGGAGCGATCGAGCTTCTGTTGTTGCAGGGGGGGGCAGGAGAAGGGGCGGCGGGGCGCGGGCATAGTCCAAGAAGTAGCGGAAATCGTAGAAAGATTCCGGGTGTTCGCGTCGTTGAGTCGGAGGTTGATTTCGGGGCAGACCTGATGGCTTTGCAGGATCCCTTTTTGTGTTGATGGGCAGAACTTGCGAAGTTGCGGAGTCGAGACATAACAGCATGAATCTGGCTCGTGGCCTTCTCGTTTCGACAACTTCTACATCGGTTCATCATTGCCTTAAATGTCACACTTTGCTTGCTTACAATAAGGGGCTCTTCCTTGCCAGGTAAGAGACGGTAAGAGGCAAGACGCTCTTCTTGCATAGCAGCGTGTTGATGCAGCGGGCCTGTTCCGTTCAGGCCGGGGGATGTGACGCGCTTGACAGGCGGGCACAGGCGGGAATTAGGGCTAATTAGGGGGTCTTGCCCAGAGCGACATGTACTACAATACGAGGCGGCAGCGACAAACGGTTGCAAAGTCACGTTCGATATTCTTCTCGTTGCTTAGCCACCAATCGTCTTCTCTTGTCTCCAACTCAACCCCTAACACCAACCCTACGGAACGTTGCCAGACACCTCGCTCGGCGTATCAAGGCCTGTCCAAGTTGCGAGAGTCGAAAACTTTACCGCCAGACCCGGCAGCCACAAGTGGGCGAGGACATCTCGGACCGTTGTGGGCGCAGCATGATGTGCCTGGGTACCATGCGTGAGGTGCTCAAAGTCAGTGTGTAGTCCCAGTCCCTTCTGACAGTTCTCCCTTCTTGAGGGCTCGCGGAGGATGGCGAGCAACCAAGTGGCAGACGATGCCGACGATGAGATGGTCCAAGTGGAAGCGAAAGTCGAGGCGCAGGAGGTGCAGGTGACCAAGAACAAGATCCCAGCTGCCTCTCTGTGCAAGCTTTTCTCCATGATGGACTTCGTCGAAGTCGTTGTGCTGATCGTCGGATGCTTGGGGGCGATTGGGAACGGCTTGTCCCAGCCTTTGCTGTGCATTGTTTTCGGAGACCTCATCGATGGCATGGGCGAAGCCACGGGCGGGGCAGAGTCTTTCACGCCCGAGCAGATGTTGGGTGCGATGGACGGCATGATGAGCCAGATGGAGGAATTGTGCATCACCATGATGCTAGTAGGCGTAGGCGCGACCTTTGCAGCATTCTTGCAGGGAGCCTGCTTCAAGATCTTCGCTGAGAAGCAGGCCTTCAAGTACCGAGTGCTCTACTTCGACACGGTGCTGCACCAGGACGTGAGCTGGTTTGACACCAGGGAGGTCGCGGCCCTGCCTGCCGAGATCAACGACGACTTGGAGAAGATCCAGGATGCTTTCGGAGACAAATTCGGAAACGGGGTGATGGCCATTTCCGCCTTCCTTGGCGGCTTCGGCTGTGCCTTCGGAATGGGTTGGCTCATCGCATTGGTGATGTGCTCCATTCTGCCCTTCATGGGCGTCGGCGCCGCCTTCATGGGAAAAGCCGTCCAGGAGATCCAGAACGAGTCGCAGAGCTGGTATGCCAAGGCTTCGGCCGTGGTGGAAGAGTGCTTGAACGCCATGCGAACCGTCGTGGCCTTCGGCGGCGAGCACCGCGAACTGAAGAAGTTCTCTGCTGCCTTGGTGGAGACGCGCCGTGGCGGGGTGAGGAACGGCTTCAAGGTCGGTGCGGGCATGGGTTACACCATGATGATCATCTTCTTGGGATACGGCTTGGCCTTCTGGTTCGGCATGACCCTGCGGTACAACGAAGAGTTGAACCCAGCCACCGGAAAGTATTGGGAGCCCGGCACGATCATGGCCATCTTCTTCTGCATCTTCATCGGAAGCTTCATGATTGGCAACTTGGACCCGAGCCTTAAGGCCATGAAGGCAGCGCAGACGGCTGCCGGTCGCTTCTTCCGCGCCCTGGAGAACAAGCCCAACATCCAATGCCGCCTGGATGACAAGCGCCAGGACATCAGCAAAATCGAGAAGTTCGATTTCGAGAATGTGCACTTCACCTATCCAGCTCGCCCCGATGTGAAGGTCCTGAACGGGCTTTCACTTAGCATCCAGCGTGGGCAGAAGGTCGCGGTGGTCGGTGAATCTGGCTCGGGGAAGTCCACGGTGATGGCTTTGCTGGAGCGGTTCTACGACCCGGACTCCGGGGCTGTGCTGGTGAACGGCCAGAACATGACAAACTTCAAGATCTCGGCCTTGCGGCGTTGCATCGGCTACGTGGGCCAGGAGCCTGTTCTTTTTGCCAGCTCCATCCGCCACAACATCATGCAAGGCAACCCTTCCGCCAGCAAGGAGGACTTCGTGAAGGCCTGCAATGATGCTCAGCTCAGCTTTGTCGACAACCTGCCCGAGAAGTACAACACCTTCGTCGGTAGCGGTGGCGGCCAGCTGTCCGGAGGTCAGAAGCAACGCATCGCCATTGCCAGGGCCCTTCTTAAGAAGGCGTCCTTCCTCTTCTTGGACGAGGCGACGAGTGCTCTTGACAACACCTCCGAGAAGATGATCCAGGCCACCATCGACAGCATCAGTGCGAACACGGCCGATGGCTTGGGGATTGTGAGCATTGCCCACCGCCTCAGTACAGTTCGCAACTCCGACCTCATTTACGTGCTGAGCCGTGGGACCTTGGTGGAACATGGCAATCATGCGTCACTGATGGAGAAGAAGGGCACCTACTATGCCCTGGTTGCTGCGCAGGAATCCTCCCACAAAGCAGAGGATGAAGAGAAGGACGCGGCCGCCATCAGCAACGAGCAGACTGCGCAGAACGTCGTGAGGCGCTCCTCCACGAATTCCGGCGAGTCGGAGACCCAGCGTGTGAAGCGGGAGAAGGACGCAGAAGCGAATCGCGAGAAAGACATCACGAAGAATTACAAGGTCCCCATGAGACGATTGCTGAGCTACAACAGGCCGGAGTGGCCTTTCTTCATTCCTGCCATCCTTGGTGCCATGGTCGACGGCTCTGCGATGCCGGTTTGCACGATTGCTTTGGTCGGCTCTATGAGTGGCTTCTTCAAGACAGACAAGGAGGAGATGAGGGAGGGGGGGGGCATTTTTATTGAGTTCTTCAAGTATCAAGTCAACGTAACTTTTTCAGCACCGCCAGCCCTCCACTGCTAACCGAGATAGAAACGAAAGACTAAGTAGCCGCTAGGAGATGCGGGCTGACCTCGAGCAAATGGCCCTGACTTTCGTGATCATCGGCGTCAGTGCCTTCATCGGGTCCACAGTCTCCCACGGCTGCTTCTCCATCCTAGGCGAGGCCATGACGCAACGCCTTCGCGTGGCGATCCTCACAGGCATGTTCCGTCAAGAGGCCGGCAAGGGGGGGGATTGAAAGGAAAAGGTTCGGGCTTCTGGTTCCGCGTGTGTCGCTTAGCTTCCAACGCGCCCAGGTGGGCTTCCATGATGATCCGGCCAACACCCCTGGCATGCTGTCCAAAGCTTTGGAGCTGTGGGCCTTCCGCGTGTCGACCTTGTGCAAGTCCGTACAGGCAAAGGCCGCGGCCATGAGTTCCTTGGTGGTAGGCCTGGTGATTGCTTTCGTCTACTGCTGGGAGATGTCGCTCGTGATGTTGGGTTCCATCCCGATCATGATCGCAGCGCAGGCCATTCAGATGCTCGTGTTGCTTGGTGCCTCGAAGAACGAGAACGAGAACATCACGAATGCCAACCAGATTGTGGTGGACTCGGTGATGAACGCTCGGACGGTGCAGGCACTGGGTGTGGAGAAGGGCCTCGTGGGCATGTACGTGAGCTGGGTCGAGAAGTCCTTGGTCGGCATGTGGAGGCGCAACATCCTTGCCGGACTGGGCTTCGGCATCTCCAATGGCATCATGTTCTTCATCATGGCAGGTGGCTTCTACGTCGCGTCCCTGCTGATCAAAGAAGGCATCGCAGACTTCGAGGGCGTGATGATGGCTTTCATGGGTATCTTCTACGCAGGCCGGGTCGTCACGTGTTCACGGGCCGTTGTGAGGACTCATCCGCTAGAATCTAGAAGCCGAGTCGCTCGTCGATATTCCTCGGGGTTATATGCATAGCAACGCATCAGGAGAGTTCCAATAGTAATTTTCCCAGCTGTTGTGCCCGCTGGCCGCTACCGAGCCTGCGCACGGAGGCATGGGAGCTGGCCAGGCTGCTGTGATGGTGGGCGACGCCACGAAGGCGAAGGTCGCCTGCCACGACATGTTCCAGCTTATGGATCGGGTCTCAGCGATTGATGGCTTGGAGCCAACTGGCGACACCCCCAAGCAGCTCGAGGCTGGGCAGATTGAGTTCCGAGACGTGAAGTTCTTCTACCCCTTCCGCCCAGAGATCCAGGTGCTCAAGGGTATCACTTTCAGCATCTCCCGGGGACAGTCAGTGGGCCTGGTGGGTCCTTCTGGTGGTGGCAAGAGCACAGTGATGTCCTTGATCCAGCGATTCTATGATCCTCAAGAGGGTCAGGTCTTCATCGGTGCGGACCGCGTGGCGCTGAATTCCGTGAACATCCGTTGGTGGCGTCGTCAGATCGGCTTCGTGGGACAGGAGCCCATCCTCTTCAACACCACCGTTCGCGCCAACATCATGTATGGCTTGGATGACGGGGAGACGGTCAGCGACGAGTATGTCAGTCAGTGTGAGAAGATGTCGAACCTGGCATTCTTATACAAGAACGGCAACAAGGGTTTGGAGACAGAGGTAGGGCCCCGGGGAAGCCGCCTCTCAGGTGGCCAGAAGCAGCGTGTGGCGATCTGCAGGGCCCTGATCCGCAATCCGCCGGTGATGTTGCTCGACGAGGCCACCAGTGCCCTTGACACGCAGAGCGAGGCGATCGTCCAGAAGGCGTTGGAGGCAGCACGCGAGGGGCGCACCTCCTTCGCGATCGCGCACCGCTTGTCCACCATCCAAGGCTGCGACGTCATCCTAGTGAACGCCGACGGCCGCGTCGTGGAGAAGGGAAACCACGAAGAGCTGATGGCCATGAAGGGGGTGTACTACAAGCTTCAGATGCAGGCGCAGAAGTGAGCAGCTAAGACTGCTAAGAGTTATAGGAGGGTTTCAGGGACAACATGCTCCTGGCAACTGCCAAGCAGTCGCGAGCACCTCACATGAGGGGTAGTCCTCTTGCCGGGTTACACGTCTCAAAAGCAAGAGCGACAAACTTACAAGCAGCAACCTGTCAAACGGCAGTCTTCCCAAGAACTCACTTGCCAGTCTTGCTTCTCGAGACGTGCGGCGTAGGCCATAGCCCAGAAACGATTTAGTGTATTTTTTTTTCCGCTGCAGTGCTAGCCGTGCGCCGGAACGGATTGTTCTAAGGTGCTTGGAACATTGACAGCATCCATTACAGATGCTACAGTCTCTTCTGTCCGTCTGGGTCGGCATGCCATGCGGATTGTAGGGCATGCAGCCCAGCAGGGAAGGTCCCAGGGGTGGCGCGGGGGAACTTGCTTTCTCCGCAGCCGCAAAAACACCGGAGACCTCGCCCGTTCTGGGACGCTTGTTTGGAGGGTCCCCCCCCATCTGTACAGCTTTCGCCAGGTTCGATGCGGCTCGAAGCGGTTCAAGGCTGCTCTCTTGCCGCTGGCACACCTCAACTCTCGGCACGGACAAAGTGCGCTCTGCTCAAGCTCCCCGTGTTCAACATCGCTCGCTGCACGCGACTGTTTGAGATTCCTAGATGCACTCCCTGACGGTCAAACGTGGCCGCAAGACTTCAAACGCCCTTTGACTTCACTGTGGGGGTAGAGCATGTTGTATCGGTTGCGAAGTGAAGTTAAAAGCTCTGCTAGAGCACCAGACCCCCACGGATATGTTACTTGGCTTGGTCAATCCGTGTTGAGCGCACTGCATGATGTGCCTGGGTGCCATGCGTGAGGTGCTCAAAGTCAGTGTGTAGTCCCAGTCCCTTCTGACAGTTCTCCCTTCTTGAGGGCTCGCGGAGGATGGCGAGCAACCAGGTGGCAGACGATGCCGACGATGAGATGGTCCAAGTGGAAGCGAAAGTCGAGACGCAGGAGGTGCAGGTGACCAAGAACAAGATCCCAGCTGCCTCTCTGTGCAAGCTTTTCTCCATGATGGACTTCGTCGAAGTCGTTGTGCTGATCGTCGGATGCTTGGGGGCCATTGGGAACGGCTTGTCCCAGCCTTTGCTGTGCATCGTTTTCGGAGACCTCATCGATGGCATGGGCGAAGCCACGGGCGGGGCAGAGTCTTTCACGCCCGAGCAGATGTTGGGTGCGATGGACGGCATGATGAGCCAGATGGAGGAATTGTGCATCACCATGATGCTAGTAGGCGTAGGCGCGACCTTTGCAGCATTCTTGCAGGGAGCCTGCTTCAAGATCTTCGCTGAGAAGCAGGCCTTCAAGTACCGAGTGCTCTACTTCGACACGGTGCTGCACCAGGACGTGAGCTGGTTTGACACCAGGGAGGTCGCGGCCCTGCCTGCCGAGATCAACGACGACTTGGAGAAGATCCAGGATGCTTTCGGAGACAAATTCGGAAACGGGGTGATGGCCATTTCCGCCTTCCTTGGCGGCTTCGGCTGTGCCTTCGGAATGGGTTGGCTCATCGCATTGGTGATGTGCTCCATTCTGCCCTTCATGGGCGTCGGCGCCGCCTTCATGGGAAAAGCCGTCCAGGAGATCCAGAACGAGTCGCAGAGCTGGTATGCCAAGGCTTCGGCCGTGGTGGAAGAGTGCTTGAACGCCATGCGAACCGTCGTGGCCTTCGGCGGCGAGCACCGCGAACTGAAGAAGTTCTCTGCTGCCTTGGTGGAGACGCGCCGTGGCGGGGTGAGGAATGGCTTCAAGGTCGGTGCGGGCATGGGTTACACCATGATGATCATCTTCTTGGGATACGGCTTGGCCTTCTGGTTCGGCATGACCCTGCGGTACAATGAAGAGTTGAACCCAGCCACCGGAAAGTATTGGGAGCCCGGCACGATCATGGCCATCTTCTTCTGCATCTTCATCGGAAGCTTCATGATTGGCAACTTGGACCCGAGCCTTAAGGCCATGAAGGCAGCGCAGACGGCTGCCGGTCGCTTCTTCCGCGCCCTGGAGAACAAGCCCAACATCCAATGCCGCCTGGATGACAAGCGCCAGGACATCAGCAAAATCGAGAAGTTCGATTTCGAGAATGTGCACTTCACCTATCCAGCTCGCCCCGATGTGAAGGTCCTGAACGGGCTTTCACTTAGCATCCAGCGTGGGCAGAAGGTCGCGGTGGTCGGTGAATCTGGCTCGGGGAAGTCCACGGTGATGGCTTTGCTGGAGCGGTTCTACGACCCGGACTCCGGGGCTGTGCTGGTGAACGGCCAGAACATGACAAACTTCAAGATCTCGGCCTTGCGGCGTTGCATCGGCTACGTGGGCCAGGAGCCTGTTCTTTTTGCCAGCTCCATCCGCCACAACATCATGCAAGGCAACCCTTCCGCCAGCAAGGAGGACTTCGTGAAGGCCTGCAATGATGCTCAGCTCAGCTTTGTCGACAACCTGCCCGAGAAGTACAACACCTTCGTCGGTAGCGGTGGCGGCCAGCTGTCCGGAGGTCAGAAGCAACGCATCGCCATTGCCAGGGCCCTTCTTAAGAAGGCGTCCTTCCTCTTCTTGGACGAGGCGACGAGTGCTCTTGACAACACCTCCGAGAAGATGATCCAGGCCACCATCGACAGCATCAGTGCGAACACGGCCGATGGCTTGGGGATTGTGAGCATTGCCCACCGCCTCAGTACAGTTCGCAACTCCGACCTCATTTACGTGCTGAGCCGTGGGACCTTGGTGGAACATGGCAATCATGCGTCACTGATGGAGAAGAAGGGCACCTACTATGCCCTGGTTGCTGCGCAGGAATCCTCCCACAAAGCAGAGGATGAAGAGAAGGACGCGGCCGCCATCAGCAACGAGCAGACTGCGCAGAACGTCGTGAGGCGCTCCTCCACGAATTCCGGCGAGTCGGAGACCCAGCGTGTGAAGCGGGAGAAGGACGCAGAAGCGAATCGCGAGAAAGACATCACGAAGAATTACAAGGTCCCCATGAGACGATTGCTGAGCTACAACAGGCCGGAGTGGCCTTTCTTCATTCCTGCCATCCTTGGTGCCATGGTCGACGGCTCTGCGATGCCGGTTTGCACGATTGCTTTGGTCGGCTCTATGAGTGGCTTCTTCAAGACAGACAAGGAGGAGATGAGGGAGGGGGGGGGCATTTTTATTGAGTTCTTCAAGTATCAAGTCAACGTAACTTTTTCAGCACCGCCAGCCCTCCACTGCTAACCGAGATAGAAACGAAAGACTAAGTAGCCGCTAGGAGATGCGGGCTGACCTCGAGCAAATGGCCCTGACTTTCGTGATCATCGGCGTCAGTGCCTTCATCGGGTCCACAGTCTCCCACGGCTGCTTCTCCATCCTAGGCGAGGCCATGACGCAACGCCTTCGCGTGGCGATCCTCACAGGCATGTTCCGTCAAGAGGCCGGCAAGGGGGGGGATTGAAAGGAAAAGGTTCGGGCTTCTGGTTCCGCGTGTGTCGCTTAGCTTCCAACGCGCCCAGGTGGGCTTCCATGATGATCCGGCCAACACCCCTGGCATGCTGTCCAAAGCTTTGGAGCTGTGGGCCTTCCGCGTGTCGACCTTGTGCAAGTCCGTACAGGCAAAGGCCGCGGCCATGAGTTCCTTGGTGGTAGGCCTGGTGATTGCTTTCGTCTACTGCTGGGAGATGTCGCTCGTGATGTTGGGTTCCATCCCGATCATGATCGCAGCGCAGGCCATTCAGATGCTCGTGTTGCTTGGTGCCTCGAAGAACGAGAACGAGAACATCACGAATGCCAACCAGATTGTGGTGGACTCGGTGATGAACGCTCGGACGGTGCAGGCACTGGGTGTGGAGAAGGGCCTCGTGGGCATGTACGTGAGCTGGGTCGAGAAGTCCTTGGTCGGCATGTGGAGGCGCAACATCCTTGCCGGACTGGGCTTCGGCATCTCCAATGGCATCATGTTCTTCATCATGGCAGGTGGCTTCTACGTCGCGTCCCTGCTGATCAAAGAAGGCATCGCAGACTTCGAGGGCGTGATGATGGCTTTCATGGGTATCTTCTACGCAGGCCGGGTCGTCACGTGTTCACGGGCCGTTGTGAGGACTCATCCGCTAGAATCTAGAAGCCGAGTCGCTCGTCGATATTCCTCGGGGTTATATGCATAGCAACGCATCAGGAGAGTTCCAATAGTAATTTTCCCAGCTGTTGTGCCCGCTGGCCGCTACCGAGCCTGCGCACGGAGGCATGGGAGCTGGCCAGGCTGCTGTGATGGTGGGCGACGCCACGAAGGCGAAGGTCGCCTGCCACGACATGTTCCAGCTTATGGATCGGGTCTCAGCGATTGATGGCTTGGAGCCAACTGGCGACACCCCCAAGCAGCTCGAGGCTGGGCAGATTGAGTTCCGAGACGTGAAGTTCTTCTACCCCTTCCGCCCAGAGATCCAGGTGCTCAAGGGTATCACTTTCAGCATCTCCCGGGGACAGTCAGTGGGCCTGGTGGGTCCTTCTGGTGGTGGCAAGAGCACAGTGATGTCCTTGATCCAGCGATTCTATGATCCTCAAGAGGGTCAGGTCTTCATCGGTGCGGACCGCGTGGCGCTGAATTCCGTGAACATCCGTTGGTGGCGTCGTCAGATCGGCTTCGTGGGACAGGAGCCCATCCTCTTCAACACCACCGTTCGCGCCAACATCATGTATGGCTTGGATGACGGGGAGACGGTCAGCGACGAGTATGTCAGTCAGTGTGAGAAGATGTCGAACCTGGCATTCTTATACAAGAACGGCAACAAGGGTTTGGAGACAGAGGTAGGGCCCCGGGGAAGCCGCCTCTCAGGTGGCCAGAAGCAGCGTGTGGCGATCTGCAGGGCCCTGATCCGCAATCCGCCGGTGATGTTGCTCGACGAGGCCACCAGTGCCCTTGACACGCAGAGCGAGGCGATCGTCCAGAAGGCGTTGGAGGCAGCACGCGAGGGGCGCACCTCCTTCGCGATCGCGCACCGCTTGTCCACCATCCAAGGCTGCGACGTCATCCTAGTGAACGCCGACGGCCGCGTCGTGGAGAAGGGAAACCACGAAGAGCTGATGGCCATGAAGGGGGTGTACTACAAGCTTCAGATGCAGGCGCAGAAGTGAGCAGCTAAGACTGCTAAGAGTTATAGGAGGGTTTCAGGGACAACATGCTCCTGGCAACTGCCAAGCAGTCGCGAGCACCTCACATGAGGGGTAGTCCTCTTGCCGGGTTACACGTCTCAAAAGCAAGAGCGACAAACTTACAAGCAGCAACCTGTCAAACGGCAGTCTTCCCAAGAACTCACTTGCCAGTCTTGCTTCTCGAGACGTGCGGCGTAGGCCATAGCCCAGAAACGATTTAGTGTATTTTTTTTTCCGCTGCAGTGCTAGCCGTGCGCCGGAACGAATTGTTCTAAGGTGCTTGGAACATTGACAGCATCCATTACAGATGCTACAGTCTCTTCTGTCCGTCTGGGTCGGCATGCCATGCGGATTGTAGGGCATGCAGCCCAGCAGGGAAGGTCCCAGGGGTGGCGCGGGGGAACTTGCTTTCTCCGCAGCCGCAAAAACACCGGAGACCTCGCCCGTTCTGGGACGCTTGTTTGGAGGGTCCCCCCCCATCTGTACAGCTTTCGCCAGGTTCGATGCGGCTCGAAGCGGTTCAAGGCTGCTCTCTTGCCGCTGGCACACCTCAACTCTCGGCACGGACAAAGTGCGCTCTGCTCAAGCTCCCCGTGTTCAACATCGCTCGCTGCACGCGACTGTTTGAGATTCCTAGATGCACTCCCTGACGGTCAAACGTGGCCGCAAGACTTCAAACGCCCTTTGACTTCACTGTGGGGGTAGAGCATGTTGTATCGGTTGCGAAGTGAAGTTAAAAGCTCTGCTAGAGCACCAGACCCCCACGGATATGTTACTTGGCTTGGTCAATCCGTGTTGAGCGCACTGCATGATGTGCCTGGGTGCCATGCGTGAGGTGCTCAAAGTCAGTGTGTAGTCCCAGTCCCTTCTGACAGTTCTCCCTTCTTGAGGGCTCGCGGAGGATGGCGAGCAACCAGGTGGCAGACGATGCCGACGATGAGATGGTCCAAGTGGAAGCGAAAGTCGAGACGCAGGAGGTGCAGGTGACCAAGAACAAGATCCCAGCTGCCTCTCTGTGCAAGCTTTTCTCCATGATGGACTTCGTCGAAGTCGTTGTGCTGATCGTCGGATGCTTGGGGGCCATTGGGAACGGCTTGTCCCAGCCTTTGCTGTGCATCGTTTTCGGAGACCTCATCGATGGCATGGGCGAAGCCACGGGCGGGGCAGAGTCTTTCACGCCCGAGCAGATGTTGGGTGCGATGGACGGCATGATGAGCCAGATGGAGGAATTGTGCATCACCATGATGCTAGTAGGCGTAGGCGCGACCTTTGCAGCATTCTTGCAGGGAGCCTGCTTCAAGATCTTCGCTGAGAAGCAGGCCTTCAAGTACCGAGTGCTCTACTTCGACACGGTGCTGCACCAGGACGTGAGCTGGTTTGACACCAGGGAGGTCGCGGCCCTGCCTGCCGAGATCAACGACGACTTGGAGAAGATCCAGGATGCTTTCGGAGACAAATTCGGAAACGGGGTGATGGCCATTTCCGCCTTCCTTGGCGGCTTCGGCTGTGCCTTCGGAATGGGTTGGCTCATCGCATTGGTGATGTGCTCCATTCTGCCCTTCATGGGCGTCGGCGCCGCCTTCATGGGAAAAGCCGTCCAGGAGATCCAGAACGAGTCGCAGAGCTGGTATGCCAAGGCTTCGGCCGTGGTGGAAGAGTGCTTGAACGCCATGCGAACCGTCGTGGCCTTCGGCGGCGAGCACCGCGAACTGAAGAAGTTCTCTGCTGCCTTGGTGGAGACGCGCCGTGGCGGGGTGAGGAATGGCTTCAAGGTCGGTGCGGGCATGGGTTACACCATGATGATCATCTTCTTGGGATACGGCTTGGCCTTCTGGTTCGGCATGACCCTGCGGTACAATGAAGAGTTGAACCCAGCCACCGGAAAGTATTGGGAGCCCGGCACGATCATGGCCATCTTCTTCTGCATCTTCATCGGAAGCTTCATGATTGGCAACTTGGACCCGAGCCTTAAGGCCATGAAGGCAGCGCAGACGGCTGCCGGTCGCTTCTTCCGCGCCCTGGAGAACAAGCCCAACATCCAATGCCGCCTGGATGACAAGCGCCAGGACATCAGCAAAATCGAGAAGTTCGATTTCGAGAATGTGCACTTCACCTATCCAGCTCGCCCCGATGTGAAGGTCCTGAACGGGCTTTCACTTAGCATCCAGCGTGGGCAGAAGGTCGCGGTGGTCGGTGAATCTGGCTCGGGGAAGTCCACGGTGATGGCTTTGCTGGAGCGGTTCTACGACCCGGACTCCGGGGCTGTGCTGGTGAACGGCCAGAACATGACAAACTTCAAGATCTCGGCCTTGCGGCGTTGCATCGGCTACGTGGGCCAGGAGCCTGTTCTTTTTGCCAGCTCCATCCGCCACAACATCATGCAAGGCAACCCTTCCGCCAGCAAGGAGGACTTCGTGAAGGCCTGCAATGATGCTCAGCTCAGCTTTGTCGACAACCTGCCCGAGAAGTACAACACCTTCGTCGGTAGCGGTGGCGGCCAGCTGTCCGGAGGTCAGAAGCAACGCATCGCCATTGCCAGGGCCCTTCTTAAGAAGGCGTCCTTCCTCTTCTTGGACGAGGCGACGAGTGCTCTTGACAACACCTCCGAGAAGATGATCCAGGCCACCATCGACAGCATCAGTGCGAACACGGCCGATGGCTTGGGGATTGTGAGCATTGCCCACCGCCTCAGTACAGTTCGCAACTCCGACCTCATTTACGTGCTGAGCCGTGGGACCTTGGTGGAACATGGCAATCATGCGTCACTGATGGAGAAGAAGGGCACCTACTATGCCCTGGTTGCTGCGCAGGAATCCTCCCACAAAGCAGAGGATGAAGAGAAGGACGCGGCCGCCATCAGCAACGAGCAGACTGCGCAGAACGTCGTGAGGCGCTCCTCCACGAATTCCGGCGAGTCGGAGACCCAGCGTGTGAAGCGGGAGAAGGACGCAGAAGCGAATCGCGAGAAAGACATCACGAAGAATTACAAGGTCCCCATGAGACGATTGCTGAGCTACAACAGGCCGGAGTGGCCTTTCTTCATTCCTGCCATCCTTGGTGCCATGGTCGACGGCTCTGCGATGCCGGTTTGCACGATTGCTTTGGTCGGCTCTATGAGTGGCTTCTTCAAGACAGACAAGGAGGAGATGAGGGAGGGGGGGGGCATTTTTATTGAGTTCTTCAAGTATCAAGTCAACGTAACTTTTTCAGCACCGCCAGCCCTCCACTGCTAACCGAGATAGAAACGAAAGACTAAGTAGCCGCTAGGAGATGCGGGCTGACCTCGAGCAAATGGCCCTGACTTTCGTGATCATCGGCGTCAGTGCCTTCATCGGGTCCACAGTCTCCCACGGCTGCTTCTCCATCCTAGGCGAGGCCATGACGCAACGCCTTCGCGTGGCGATCCTCACAGGCATGTTCCGTCAAGAGGCCGGCAAGGGGGGGGATTGAAAGGAAAAGGTTCGGGCTTCTGGTTCCGCGTGTGTCGCTTAGCTTCCAACGCGCCCAGGTGGGCTTCCATGATGATCCGGCCAACACCCCTGGCATGCTGTCCAAAGCTTTGGAGCTGTGGGCCTTCCGCGTGTCGACCTTGTGCAAGTCCGTACAGGCAAAGGCCGCGGCCATGAGTTCCTTGGTGGTAGGCCTGGTGATTGCTTTCGTCTACTGCTGGGAGATGTCGCTCGTGATGTTGGGTTCCATCCCGATCATGATCGCAGCGCAGGCCATTCAGATGCTCGTGTTGCTTGGTGCCTCGAAGAACGAGAACGAGAACATCACCAATGCCAACCAGATTGTGGTGGACTCGGTGATGAACGCTCGGACGGTGCAGGCACTGGGTGTGGAGAAGGGCCTCGTGGGCATGTACGTGAGCTGGGTCGAGAAGTCCTTGGTCGGCATGTGGAGGCGCAACATCCTTGCCGGACTGGGCTTCGGCATCTCCAATGGCATCATGTTCTTCATCATGGCAGGTGGCTTCTACGTCGCGTCCCTGCTGATCAAAGAAGGCATCGCAGACTTCGAGGGCGTGATGATGGCTTTCATGGGTATCTTCTACGCAGGCCGGGTCGTCACGTGTTCACGGGCCGTTGTGAGGACTCATCCGCTAGAATCTAGAAGCCGAGTCGCTCGTCGATATTCCTCGGGGTTATATGCATAGCAACGCATCAGGAGAGTTCCAATAGTAATTTTCCCAGCTGTTGTGCCCGCTGGCCGCTACCGAGCCTGCGCACGGAGGCATGGGAGCTGGCCAGGCTGCTGTGATGGTGGGCGACGCCACGAAGGCGAAGGTCGCCTGCCACGACATGTTCCAGCTTATGGATCGGGTCTCAGCGATTGATGGCTTGGAGCCAACTGGCGACACCCCCAAGCAGCTCGAGGCTGGGCAGATTGAGTTCCGAGACGTGAAGTTCTTCTACCCCTTCCGCCCAGAGATCCAGGTGCTCAAGGGTATCACTTTCAGCATCTCCCGGGGACAGTCAGTGGGCCTGGTGGGTCCTTCTGGTGGTGGCAAGAGCACAGTGATGTCCTTGATCCAGCGATTCTATGATCCTCAAGAGGGTCAGGTCTTCATCGGTGCGGACCGCGTGGCGCTGAATTCCGTGAACATCCGTTGGTGGCGTCGTCAGATCGGCTTCGTGGGACAGGAGCCCATCCTCTTCAACACCACCGTTCGCGCCAACATCATGTATGGCTTGGATGACGGGGAGACGGTCAGCGACGAGTATGTCAGTCAGTGTGAGAAGATGTCGAACCTGGCATTCTTATACAAGAACGGCAACAAGGGTTTGGAGACAGAGGTAGGGCCCCGGGGAAGCCGCCTCTCAGGTGGCCAGAAGCAGCGTGTGGCGATCTGCAGGGCCCTGATCCGCAATCCGCCGGTGATGTTGCTCGACGAAGCCACCAGTGCCCTTGACACGCAGAGCGAGGCGATCGTCCAGAAGGCGTTGGAGGCAGCACGCGAGGGGCGCACCTCCTTCGCGATCGCGCACCGCTTGTCCACCATCCAAGGCTGCGACGTCATCCTAGTGAACGCCGACGGCCGCGTCGTGGAGAAGGGAAACCACGAAGAGCTGATGGCCATGAAGGGGGTGTACTACAAGCTTCAGATGCAGGCGCAGAAGTGAGCAGCTAAGACTGCTAAGAGTTATAGGAGGGTTTCAGGGACAACATGCTCCTGGCAACTGCCAAGCAGTCGCGAGCACCTCACATGAGGGGTAGTCCTCTTGCCGGGTTACACGTCTCAAAAGCAAGAGCCACAAACTTACAAGCAGCAACCTGTCAAACGGCAGTCTTCCCAAGAACTCACTTGCCAGTCTTGCTTCTCGAGACGTGCGGCGACAACGATTTAGTGTATTTTTTTCCGCTGCAGTGTTAGCCGTGCGCCGGAACGGATTGTTCTAAGGTGCTTAGAACATTGACAGCATCCATTACAGATGCTACAGTCTCTTCTGTCCGTCTGGGTCGGCATGCCATGCGGATTGTAGGGCATGCAGCCCAGCAGGGAAGGTCCCAGGGGTGGCGCGGGGGAACTTGCTTTCTCCGCAGCCGCAAAAACACCGGAGACCTCGCCCGTTCTGGGACGCTTGTTTGGAGGGTCCCCCCCATCTGTACAGCTTTCGCCAGGTTCGATGCGGCTCGAAGCGGTTCAAGGCTGCTCTAGCCGATGCAAACGTCACGTCCGGTTTACGAAAATCCTCGAAGATCTCTGTAGGTGTCGGGTCTTACGACCTCAGTTTTGTTCGACCTCCATCATCTTCAGCCTTGACTTGCCAGGAAGCGGTTGCCAAGGCGAGGGAGGAAGGCTCGCTGGGTCATCCCCCATTCTAGGTAAATGAAGGCTGAGGGGGGGGTACCCTGAAACCGGCAAGCTTTCACTTTCACTTTCCCCCTTCAAATTTCAGGGGGGGTCGATAAATGAAGGTTGGAGTCGTGGACGTGTGTGCTTTCACTTTGGATTTTTGTGGGAGGCGTGGATGTGTATATTAGCTTGGCTGATCGTAGAGGCGCTGGCTCGCCGGGAGCCAGCTACGCATAATTTCACGAGACATAGACATACAGTATACTGACATGCATGTGGCACACCGAATGGACATGCAGGCGGCCAACCGAATTTGTCCTAGGTCATTTAGAACTTGAGTTCAAAGATTTTGGGTTTCAAGCTAGCTGAGTTCGTTTGTCGAGTGCACACTGGAACGTGACATTCTTGTCATGACCTCATGATATCTTGAGGTTCCCACTGGTTTTCTGCAGTTTCCAGGCTTTGGCATCTTCCGTGGGAGAATCTAGGGAGTAGCTGCGTAGCTGTAACTTCGCGAAAGACTTCCCTTTATACTCCGACTGGTTCATGTCTTATATTTGGACAATGTTACGCAGAGCCGCATAGAACCTGGAAAAGTGAAGAATCTGGGGGTGGACGTCTCGGAAGTCCTGCGCTCCTGCACGCATTCCTGAGGTTCCCCCTGGTTTTCTGCACTTTCCAGGCTTTTGCGTCTGCCGTGGGAGAATCTAGGGATATTACGCAGAGACGCATAGAACCTGGAAAAGTGAAGAATTTGGGGGTGGACGTCTCGGAAGTCCTGCGCTGCCGCACGCATTCCTGAGGTTCCCCCTGGTTTTTTCCAGGCTTTTGCATTTGCCGTGGGAGAATCTAGGGAGTTGCTGTAACTTCGCACTAACACTTCACTATACTCCGACTGGTTCATGTCTTATATTTGGACAATGTTACGCAGAGCCGCATAGAACCTGGAAAAGTGAAGAATCTGAGGGTGGACGTCTCGGAAGTCCTGCGCTCCTGCACGCATTCCTGAGGTTCCCCCTGGATTTCTGCACTTTCCAGGCTTTTGCATCTGCCGTGGGAGAATCAAGGGATATTACGCAGAGCCGCATAGAACCTGGAAAAATGAAGAATCTGAGGGTCGACGTCTCAGAAGTCCTGCGCTCCTGCACGCATTCCCCACGTACCCTCTGGGCTCCTGCACTTTCCCTTCTCGCACGCGGCATGCCTTTCGATTTACTGTAAGTCTTTCTCGGTTACCACAAGCAAGCAGGGTCTGGCACCAACACCCACGAAGCACAAGACGATATTGCACAGGCATGCGACAGCTAGGAACATGTAATGTTCCAGCAGGCTTCCGCGCCTCGGCATATGGCCTTCGGTTTTCACGTCCACAGCAGCCTCCTGCACTCATGCCAGAGTCAACCCATGGAATCCCACCTAAAAAAGAGTGGAAACCAGCCACTTCCAGCACAGCCGCTGGTTTTTGCAAGCAGCTGACAAAAGGGGTCGCCGCAGCAAATACAAATCCACCGTTGCACGCCCAATGATGCAAGTGAGGATTTTAGTTTAAGCTTTCGGTGGATTTATGGGTGGGTCGCCCCCGCGGCCTGCCAGAATTTGGTTTATAGGTCCTTAGGGATAAAAGTGTTGGGGGAGTTGTCACTTCCGAACCTAGCTTAAGTTCTACAGTACATCCGATAAACCACTGAGGGGGACCTCCCAAAGTGCAATCTTCACTTTCCTAGGTCCCCCCCCGAAATCATGGGGGATGCTGGGTCCCTGCGGCATTTACGCCCGAGCCCGGGGGGGATTCCTTTAAATTCCTCCGTCTATGAGGCAGGCATTGCTCTGATTTTCATTTGAAGTATGGAATGTCAGTGACGTTGCAAAATCTGGAATCTCGTTAAGCTGATGTGCCAGTGCCAGCGGAGGCTTGAAGCTTTTCTTGGCCGCGGGATGATCCCTTGCAATGTGCTGTGGTTTCACTGAGAGTTTGCCCAGTGACGTTGCAAAATCTGGAATCTCGTTCAGCTGATTTTCCAGCGGAGGCTTGAAGCTTTTCTTGGCCGCGGGATGATCCCTTGCAGTGTGCTGTGGTTTCACTGAGAGCTTGCTCAGTGACGTTGCAAAATCTGGAATCTCGTCAAGCTGATGTGCCAGTGCCAGCGGAGGCTTGGAGTTTTTCTTGGCCGCGAGATGATCCCTTGCAATGTGCTGTGATTTCACTGAGAGCTTGCTCAGCTGACGTTGCAAAATCTGGAATCTCGTTAAGCTGATGTGCCAGTGCCAGCGGAGGCTTGAAGCTTTTCTTGGCCGCGGGATGATCCCTTGCAATGTGCTGTGGTTTCACTGAGAGCTTGCTCAGTGACGTTGCAAAATCTGGAATCTCGTTAAGCTGATGTGCCAGTGCCAGCGGAGGCTTGAAGCTTTTCTTGGCCGCGGGATGATCCCTTGCAATGTGCTGTGGTTTCACTGAGAGCTTGCTCAGTGACGTTGCAAAGTCTGGAATCTCGTTAAGCTGATGTGCCAGTGAAAGCGGAGGCTTGAAGCTTTTCTTGGCCGCAGGATGATCCCTTGCAATGTGCTGTGGTTTCACTGAGGGCTTGCTCAGTGACGTTGCAAAATCTGGAATCTCGTTAAGCTGATGTGCCAGTGCCAGCGGAGGCTTGAAGCTTTTCTTGGCCGCGGGATGATCCCTTGCAATGTGCTGTGGTTTCACTGAGAGCTTGCTCAGTGACGTTGCAAAATCTGGAATCTCGTTAAACTGATGTGCCAGTGAAAGCGGAGGCTTGAAGCTTTTCTTGGCCGCAGGATGATCCCTTGCAATGTGCTGTGGTTTCACTGAGAGCTTGCTCAGTGACGTTGCAAAATCTGGAATCTCGTTAAGCTGATGTGCCAGTGCCAGCGGAGGCTTGAAGCTTTTCTTGGCCGCGGGATGATCCCTTGCAATGTGCTGTGGTTTCACTGAGAGTTTGCCCAGTGACGTTGCAAAATCTGGAATCTCGTTCAGCTGATTTTCCAGCGGAGGCTCGAAGCTTTTCTTGGCCGCGGGATGATACCTTGCAATGTGCTGTGGTTTCACTGAGAGCTTGCTCAGTGACGTTGCAAAATCTGGAATCTCGTTAAGCTGATATGCCAGTGCCAGCGGAGGCTTGAAGCTTTTCTTGGCCGCGGGATGATCCCTTGCAATGTGCTGTGGTTTCACTGAGAGCTTGCTCAGTGACGTTGCAAATCTGGGATCTCGTTAAGCTGATGTGCCACCGAAGGCTTGAAGCTTTTCTTGGCCGCGGGATGATCCCTTGCAGTGTGCTGTGGTTTCACTGAGAGCTTGCTCAGTGACGTTGCAAAATCTGGAATCTCGTCAAGCTGATGTGCCAGTGGCAGCGGAGGCTTGAAGTTTTTCTTGGCCGTGGGATGATCCCTTGCAATGTGCTGTGGTTTCACTGAGAGCTTGCTCAGCTGACGTTGCAAAATCTGGAATCTCGTTAAGCTGATGTGCCAGTGCCAGCGGAGGCTTGAAGCTTTTCTTGGCCGTGGGATGATCCCTTGCAATGTGCTGTGGTTTCACTGAGAGCTCATTGACGTCCAGCCTGTGTTGATTGCGATGCTGCGGAAACCCAGCGCTACTGTGGAATAGCTGGCTATGGCTAGTTGCAGCACTTTCGCCGTCAGGTGTTCCATCTAGGCCGAGGCTTTTGTTCCGTGGTTGAGTGCCTAGGATTCCGGTACTATCTGTTCCCTGAACGCTGAATTCTATGCTCACCACATAAGCTTTTCCCACGCGCTTCTTCGACTCGGAGGCTAAAGCACATTTAGGTCCGCCACTGCATTTGTATGCTGAAGGGACGTATAACCTAACAGGCATTCCCAGTTCGCTAGATCTACAGTCATGACCCAGACATGGCAGGCTGTCGATACGTCACAGCAGGGGCGCCTGAACGCGGCCGCGACTTGAAAAGATCCGGACGAGAAAAATGGTGGCGAGTTGTTTTTTCATGGCAGCATGCTAAAAATGTACAACCCCAGGCCAGGGAAGCAATGTCACAGATAAACGACCCTGTGCCTGGCCGGCCAGGCTGGCTCCCAGCCACAAGCCGCCTTGAACCCTTAATGCCTCAGCCCGTGATCCTAATTCGTTAACGACACCCCTACACCCCAAAGCTCGAACCCCGGATCGGAAAAGGGCCCGCAGCAACACCGCCAGAACCATCCAGAACCCCTCTCACAAACACATTGCGCTCTGCGTTTTCGGAGCCTCGCCTGGATTGTTCGAGTGCGAGTCTCAACAATCCACCAACGACTTCTTTCAGCTGGGTGGGGTGGGGAGAAAGCCTCCATGCCCGAATG